GAAATTTGAAAATACATCAAATTAACTATACGCTGTAAAGATACGTGTCCAAATTAGCGTCGGAACTGAACTAAAACTGTTTCTTACCTAGAACCGTTCTATTAACACTGGTGATAATATTAACATGCCAAGTTGTACTAGCAAGGAAAATAAAGCAAAGTGGTGTGGTGTTGAGGCAAGTGAGGAGGTGGAGGAGGTGGAGGGTATGCAGACGGGCGCGTGCTCCTGGTGCCCTTCCCTTGAGTTCCCTTAACCTACTTGTTCACGTGAGCGTGCCCACCTGACCCTGTCTCTCTCTCTCTCTCTCTCCTCCCCAAACACTGAGACCCGGATTTTCAAAGAGCCGCATTTTAAATTTCCTCGTAACTGAAGATGGTGGAAGGCCTTTAAACTGTCTCACTTAATCTCCAGACAAATATTACGGCCTATAACATACCGCGACTCAACCATAACTTGAGACTCGGATTCTCAAAGGTTCTCAAGTTAATTATTCCTCCCATTAGAAAAAAAAGAGCGCCCTTAACTTTAAACTATGACGCAAAAATAACGAGCTATCAAAAATACACTGATACTATGGTAGCTAATGTTGTCTGGTTCTCAGTAACGGTGAAAATATTTGTTTGGTTCCCAGTGACTGAAAAAAATCGTACTTTTTTGAGGATGTGTTTTTTTTTTAATCTTCTCTTCACTTCTTGCTTCTTCCTCAAATTATCGTAAAAAATATAGACACTTCCACCTCTTTTTTCTTTATTTCCTCATTTATTTTTTCACGAGTAACTTTATGTTACTGTTTGCTTTTTAATTTTGGAAGGTAAATATAAATTCACTGTCAGATATTTGTCATTGAGATGAGTATTGACGTTTCAAGATTCATTTTACCCCAGATATTACCTCACAATGCCTTACCCACACTACAACCTGTACCATCCTATCCTGCCCTCTCCTCAGACTACTCAAACCTATCCTGCCCTCTCCTCAGACTACTCAAACCTATCCTGCCCACACGCCAGCTCACTCATACCAAAACTCTCTCCCACACCCCCAGCCTACCGTACTCACATCCCAACCTACCCTGCCCACAGCCCACACCCTAACCTATCCTATACTCTCTCCTAACCACATGCCATCCTGTTCCTCTCTATCTTTCTTCTAACCCATCCTGCCTCACTCTTCCCTAACCACACAGCCTAGTTAGTGGGCAGGGTCATCAGAGGCTACTGTACAAAAACCCCAGAGTGTTCACTATGATCTTAAATACATCTGCAGGCGCGGACCCAGACCAGCTCTCTCCCCTCCGTCCTCCACCACTAATGACACGGTCTCACTGTCACCACTGATGACACGGTCTCACTGTCATCACTGATGACACGGTCACCACTGATGATGACAAGGTCACCACTGATGACACGGTCTCACTGTCATGACACGGTCTCACTGTCACCACTGATGACACGGTCTCACTGTCACCACTGATGATGACACGGTCTCACTGTCACCACTGATGACACGTCTCACTATCACCATTGATGGTACGGTCTCATTTGTCACCACCGATGACGACACGGTCTCACTGTCACCACTGATGACACGGTCTCACTGTCACCACTGATGACACGGTCTCACTGTCACCACTGATGACACGGTCTCACTGTCACCACTGATGACACGGTCTCACTGTCATCACTGATGACACGGTCTCACTGTCACCACTGATGACACGGTCTCACTGTCACCACTGATGATGACACGGTCTCACTGTCACCACTGATGACACGTCTCACTATCACCATTGATGGTACGGTCTCATTTGTCACCACCGATGACGACACGGTCTCACTGTCACTAATAATGATACGGTCTCTCGCCGCTATAATCACTGCCAGTTCCACCATCACTTCCACACCACCAGCACCACACCACTACCACACCAGTGGCACCACCACTATCAAACAATCGTCACCACCAACATATTTTGATAAAACATTTCCACGTTCATTTTGTCACCTACCTGGTGTGAGTGAACGTATACTAGTTTTTGAGGGCGTCTAGGGTCTCCGTGCAATTTTTATGTTAAATTTAGACGTACTTGGTGCTTTAGTTAAAGTCACCCAGTTAGGTGTATTCTTACATCCTGAGATACGAGAGACAAACCTTTAAGAATATGAATCTGTCCAGATAAAAACTGCACCATGTAACCTTTGAACTCCGGTGACTAAATTGCAAAAACAAGCGAGGCGTCTCTCACTGTTGTTGCTCTCTTGTGTTCAGTGATTACAATAACATGAAGCTTGTTTTGTTTTTTGTTAGTTTTACGGCCAGCAACTAATGAAAGTGTCATAGTTCAAACCAACCACTTTGTTTACTAACTATGGTACTCAGTTTGTGAATAAATTGAATAATTTTTCCCTGTTTGCACTTTTCTTTAAATCAACAGAGCCACAACTGCTTCGATTATGACGGAGGCCTTTTTCATCACCTATGAACCTAAGATTGGGTAGGTTCGTTTGCCCTTCCTTATCAAAGTCGATAAGAGATGTGTTCATTAAACGGATAACTTTTGTACAATCGTATTTTTGTAGGTGTACTCATAAAAAGACTTGGGTGCTTCAGCTGCTAGGTAAGTTATAAGCAGCGACCAAAACGTGTTAGTTTATGATATCAGACGACACAAAGTCTCGCAGTTATCATTGTATTCTTTCCCCTGTGAGATACAATAATGACAATAATGTCTAACTTACACCTAATTATACTCGGATGAGGTAGTTATTGCCATACTATCACTTCCGTAACCGCAGCAACCTAATTTTGTAGGTAGTAAAGCTAAAACCGCCTCTTTTATAGATGATCCAGAGAGGTGGTTGATGAAACTGACATAGTTGATTAGATTAGTGACTTTTTATGAGTGAGTGTGGGAGGACGTCAAGGTTTGAACTTTTGCCGTCGTTGTTCGATGTATTTGTGGATGGTAAGAATCAATTGTTTTTGTATTCTTTTTTTCAATCCCAACCTAAGAATTTGGTTTTGGGTCCAGTCCATAACTGCCGTAATCCTAGTGGACCCCAATTCTGAATCGGGCCTGTTAGGACTGGAGCCCATGTGAAGTGCGACCAACAGTAAGTGGCGCAGGGCAGGGTGGAGGGTATCACAGTTATTGTGTCTAGATGATGTTTTACTAGTGACATTTTTTATATACCAGTATGTAAGTTGCACGGGGGAGATCAGACAAGTGCCGTTAATAAATCTATTAACTTAGGCGTGTCCTTGCCAAAGACTGAAAGATGTCTAAAACGGGATGTTTTGAGCTAATGGGGGTTATATGGAAAAAAAACGCTATGTGGTAAGGAGTTCTACAATGTGCTAGTCCAGGATGTAAATTAGTTTTGACAGGCAGGTTCCGCGAGTTGGAATATCAGTAGAAACAGCAAAGGTCCTCACAGATGCCCTCGTGGCCCCATGGAGGGTGAGTGGGGGATGGCACCTGACACAATTGTGTCAGATCCCGATACTTGATCTGCAACAAGATTGAACGAAAAAGTCTCCATTTTCAGAACGTTTTTGGCCATATCATCAATTAGTACAAAAAAGACAAGACTTCTATCTGGAATTATCATCAAGTTTGACGTCCACCTGAACGGGGACGTCATTAACGACTTAAACGTCCTTTTGTTGTTCTGCTTGTCCCCAGCCACCGAAGGTAACCATGAGACCACCATTCGGTCTACGGACAGCCTTGGTTACCCCCCCCCCCCCATCCCTGAAGAGGTGAAGAACCTCTTCAGGATGGTGAGGTTATCGTCTCAGGGGGTGGATGGTGGAGGAATTTTTTTTTACGGGATTAGCCCACCAGGGCACAGGTCAATAACCCCATCAGGGCCTGGGGGCGAAAATATAATAATAATATTAATAATAATAATAATAATAATAATAACAACAACAATACTAATAATTTAAAAAAAAAGAATAAAAATACTATATAATAATAATAAATAATAATAATAATAATAATAATAATAATAATAATAATAATAATAATAATAATTAATAATAATAATAATAATAATAATAATAATAATAATAATAATAATAATAATAAAAATAATAATATATAATAATAATAACAATAATAATAATAATAATAATAATAATAATAATAATAATAACAATAATAATAATAATAATGATAATAATAATAATAATAATAATAATAAGGGACCACAAATAAAAAAAAAATAAAAAATCGATCAATAGTGAGAAACGATACATGTATGTTGTGTTGTCAAAGCAAGAGAAACAATTGAGGCCCTGCAATTGTGTGTAAATGAGGCAGAAAGTCAGATCAGCAACATCGGACTAGGTCAAAATTTTCGTGATGTCATATGGCAGCAGGGTACACATTATGCTTCCAATATCTTCCCTGTTTGATAGCTGCCTACTACCTACTATTGTACCTACATCACGTTAATTTGGTTCCAGTTAAGTCGCATGGCTGGCTTAGGTGTTTTCAACTGACTATTCTGGACTGGGTGTGTTAATCATCACTAAGGATATAAATTTATCTTACACACTTTGAGAACACAAGAGCAAAATCTCCAAATTTGGTAACACTGGTCGAGCAAGATGTTTTGTACATTTATATAACTCAGAATATACCATGAAGCCCCTAATCTGTCCACTCTAGCACGGATTACTGATATAAGACGATTAAACAGGATTAAAAGTGAAGAATGGACATAAGTATGATATTGAATACAAACTTTAATGTGACCCCGTAAGTATATTGATAAACCAGCCAAATAAGTAAACGCCATGCTTACACCAGTGTTACCAAATATATTATATTCATCAATATAAATATTTTATAATGCCTTGCTTAATTAAAGAAAAAAAATAAGACAAAATTGTTAATTATTATTTAAAAAAATAATCATGATAAATTTTAACAAAATAGAACAAGAAAATAAAATTCTGTGGTGATAAATAGTGGCAGCAGGACAGGGAGAGGTAAGGTAAGGGTGTTGGCAATAGTGACCGGGTGGCCTGAGTCATCTCGAGACTTCTCCAGTAAACTCTACTGTACTGTAGCCCGATATAAACAACTACAAAATGTCCAAAGGAGAACCAGACCAAGAATTAAAGAAAGTGAGTTGATTTGCTATCGTATGAAAGTTATCAGTAGTGGTGTTGTAAGTAGTGACTGTTAAACTATAGGCTACATGTTGGATGAACTTCCAGAATGGTTCAGCCTCGGTATATTATATACTAATGATTATTATGTGATCAACCAACGTTTAGTTTATCTCTAGGATAAAGGTGGGGTAGACGGCTAACACCAGAAGGAGTTGAAGAATTGCTCGATTTCATTAATTTTTCCCCACAGAACTGTAGAATTTGTGTTGAAAGAATTTGTTAAGAATTAATTTATTGAAGTCCTGTTTACTTCTGCTATTTGTCCGGCGTTCATTCTGATTGATTGAGGCTGATGAATTGAATTCGGTAACTTGTAAATATGGCAAGGTTAGTTGAGGTTTGCAAATACAGTAATCGATTTCAGTAATCTAGAATCAGCATTAGTATCATCAGTCTTGATCGATCAAGAATGAATGCTGGACATGTAGGGGAAATGAGTAAAGGTCTGTGATCATACAAATAACCATAGCTTAATTTATGGGTCAAAATAACACACTGATACTAGCAGGAACAATACTAGCAGGAACGGACCGTTGAGCAATATGTATACTGTACTGTACAGTACTCAGGTTCAGCAGTACAATTGTTCACTTTTTCTCCAATGAACCAGTGGAAATAGCCTGGAGCAGAGTATGAACATAAAAAAAAATGAAAAAGAATATGAAAAATATATTTCAAGAAAATTCCCTGAATTAACGAGAATTTGCTTCTTGCAAATGAGCCGTTATTGAACTATGACCCCTAATTACCAATAATATTGCCTGTTCAAAGTGGGCAGAGCTTTGAAGTATACATAGAGGGAAAATGTGGGGTAAAATACTAAAAAGAACACCAAACAAACTTTTGAAAACCTGAGCTAACCTTTCCCAACCAGTAAAATGGTTAATTCACTCTCAAGTTTATGGGCTCCTCCTCACCTGAACACTGAAAATATGACCATCACATACTAAACACCGAAAACACAAATGAGGTAAGATTTTTATAGTGTTAGGATTTTTATAGGTTGGGTAGGGTTTTCAAAGTGAGAAAAACCAGATCCTCCATACATAATTGTACAAGTCTTTTAACAATACAGTAATTTTAACAAACCAGCCAGCGTCACAAGCAATGCCGTGTCTACACTGATCAGAAAAAATGAAGATTGAAGTGAAGTCTTTGCAGCCTTGATGGCCTCACAACCCATTTGAACAACTCGGCACATCGCGACCCATTCGAACACCTAGAAGACCCAAATTTTGGTCGCGACCCATAGTTTAAGAACCGCTGGGTTCAGGAGATGGATGTGACCTTATACAATAGTGTTGCTTCTTTGATGATTTCACTGTACAGTATAATACAGTATGATTGTTTTGATTTATAGAATGTTAATCCAGTGGATTAGAAATGGGAAATATACTGTACAGTATACATTATATACTATACATGTGCTGTACATTGTGTGCCAACAAATGAGGTGGTACACCAATAGTGATGGCAGAAGATACAAACCAGCTAGACCTAACATACAGTAATGTATATATATTAAATGTGTATATAAATCAATTGGTTTGATTGGTTGTGTTTTTATTAATGGTTTAGGATCCCCGTCTCTTGGGATATTTGTGTTTACAAGATGGTCACACTTTGTAGGGGTACACTACTTATTAATAAGCTAATGATGTACTGACCATTTTTTTTTTTCAATGTAAAATAAAATCAACATATCCATTAAGATCTCCTGAACTCTTATTTATTGCAGTAGTCATGGCCTAGTGCTGTAGCTATTCTTTTAGTAAGTGAAGCCATTCCAAGAAGGTGAATCAGGCAACTAAATTATTTGGTCTTATAAGAAGGTTGTTCAGATATCTAGACCCTCGCAACGATCTTCAAGAGTGAGGTGCTTCCCCGTTTGGAGTACTATCACCCTGTCTGTTCCCCGAGATATGCTAGGAACTGTCAATTGATTGAAAATGTCCAAAGGCGGGCCACCAGACTGGTGCCTGCACTTTGGCATCTCAGCTACCCTGAGAGATTAGAGCGCCTGAAATTGCCTAGCTTATACTACAGACGGGCAAGGGGGGACCTAATTGAGGTGCACTCAATCAAGTGCCCTTACCTGGAGCTGGCGGACACTCGCCCCACAAGGGGTCACAACTCAAGGTTGAAGAAGCCGCAAGCCCAGAAAACTGTGAGGAGTAAATTTTTTGGAGTTAGAATTGTGAACTCTTGGAACAATCTGCCAGAGAGTGTTGTGACTGCGCTGACTGTGAGCTCTTTCAAGACCACATTTGACAAGCACTCGAGCAGGTTCAGATACATTCAGGAGCCAGTACTTGCCAACAATGAGTAACAGACGTGACCGATCGCCCAAATGGCTAACGAGCCGAACAGTGGTGAAGAGGATAAAAGTAAAAGTGTAAAAAAGTCAACGAGTATAATAAATAATGCATGCATTTCAATACAGTATAATTTTCTTCTTAGAAGTGGACACTTTTTGGTTGAGTGAAATAGGTTTTTCAGTTCCCATAGATTTTAAAGTTATTCATGTCTTTATTTTTTGTGTGTACAAAATAATTGTATTTACATGTATTATATACAGTACATGCTTTCAGGCCTTTATGGAGTTACAAGGCAAAATGCAGGAGACAAACCAGAAATTACGCATTGCTGACGTCCAGGTAGAAAGCCTTAAGAAGCAGATTGTTCATGCCCAGCTCACAGATAAGGAAATTCAGGTAATTTATGGAACATTTAAACTGGTGATACTTACAGTATTCCATTCATGTTAAGATTGTGATGAAAATTTTTATTTCTGCAAGCCTTTTCCCTCTGATACAGGATGACTAGAATTACAGTAAGACAAACACTCCATTCACTGACTGAAACAAATATTTTAAGTGAACTGTTATAATCCTCTTGTTTTGAGGAGCTCCAGGTAAGATGTGTTTCTTAAACCATTCTTCAGGTACTTATTCAGAATTGCTAACCTAACTGCATTTTGTGGCTTATATATATATATATATATATATATATATATATATATATATATATATATATATATATATATATATATATATATATATATATATATATATATATATATATATATATATATATATATATATATGTCACTTGTCTATTTCTTGTCAAGCACTTCATATACTGTATAATTTCTTTGTGGTGTGTTTATAAACCTCTAAATAATAGAAACTGTTTTCCAGAGTCTTGGTGAAAGCACGCGGGTTTATGAGAGTGTGGGACGTATGTTCCTCCTTACTGATATTCCCATGGTGCGTGAGAATCTGAAAGCCAAAGTCTCCAAATGCAACGAAAAAATTACTAACTTACAGGTACGTTAAATTATCATGAAGACTTATACTGTACTGTGCAGTATATAGAAGATCTTAAAACAGACAAAATGTATATGTTCATAATCATTACAAGGAATATAAAGTTCTGGAGTTTGTTGGGTTTTTTTGTTTAAAAGCTGTTCAAATTTTTGTCAATACAGTATAAAGCAAATGTTTTAAGATCATCTGCTAACATATTGTGGTTCAGGAGTGACTGTAGGTCCTCCACTCCCTATTTTTTTGGATATTGCAGTATGTGCCAAATTAAGTCATGCAACCAATAGTATTAGTTATTTTAACTGAATTGTATATTGAACCAGTTATAATTATTGTTTAATCATTGATTTATATTATTGATTCAAGATACTACAGTGTCCTATAAGATAGGCTGACAGCCATGTTTCCTTAAATGAATATATCTAACGCTCTTACTTAGAGGCTGGTCTAAACATTTCTGGCTGTAATTGGTTGGTTCGTAGTGTATTTGCTTAAAGCAAAAACATTTTTTGCCTGTTTCCTGCAGAAAATCATTTAGCATTATATTTTGTTGCTTATATAAAAATTATAAAGTTTCTCTAATTTAATTTAATTTTTTATTAATAAAATTTTCTTTTCAGTCGAATAAGGAATACCTCGAGCGCAGTATGTCAGAAAGTCAGAATAATCTGAGGGAGCTGATTAAACAAAAGCAGTCTGTAGGTGTTGCTTAACAAGACTGCAGGATGAAATAAAGACGAATCAATTTAAGTTTCACCCTTCAGCTCAACATTAATTGTTATGCTCACTGTTGGAGTCATGTTATTTTGTCTTAAACAGTGATGTAACAGGATATAATATTGTATGTAAGATTAATGTCATTCTCAGAAACTTGTGACACGTACAGTATTTGGCCATGGCCATTTGCTAAGATTACTGTACGGTACTAAATTCATTTTTCTAAATACTGTACAGTATATTGTATTGAGGGTTTGGAGAATTGACTCGTGCATTTCAATTTAGTAACATCAATTGGACTTGAAATTATTTTTGACTCTTCTGATGATCTTGAGGCAGCACCTGTGTTGATGGGTGTTAGCCCTGCTTCTGTAGGCTATTGACCCACAGTGTGTCATTCAGTGATGATTTAATCCTAAAGGATTTTATCTCTCCACTCTTACTGTTTAATCATGTTCATATGTTAGTTACTGATTCAATATATAATTTTTTTTTTTATTGGATTGAAAATGTTTTCATATAGTGTTTGTTCCGCATTTTTTAAAGATTCACGTAAATTTATTCAGTTGGATAGATTCCTAAGCAAGGATTGGTAACTTGCACTTCAAACATTGCTTTCATTGAATCAGCAGTAGTGTTCACCCATGTCTCTATGTTCATTAAAAGTTAAAAAAAAAAACATTGTCTAATTCATATTTCCCATCAATGACCTTGTTCTAAACTATGCATCTTGCATGGACAGCCTACATCCCCGGAATGTTTCTGGGTGCTGGGGAAAGTTTTCCTAGAGTCTAAACTAGGCATCTCATCTTGCATGGACAAACACACTCATTAAATTTAGACCGTGGGCACAAGCAAAAATATTTACGGCTAGCAAAAAAGTGTATAAACCTTTATTCGCAGCATCTGTTCTAACTGCATTACAGATAAATTTGGTATCACAATGATCCTGAAAAAATTCTCTACAAGACTGTTTCAATAAGAGATCCGTAAATAAAATATTTTGACGTGCTATAATGATGGGGACTCCATTCTTTTATATAAAAAAAAAAAAAAAAAAAAGTTGATACCCGAGGTTTGGTTAAATAAATCTTTTCAGAAAAAAAAATATACATTAGATGATCTAGAGTGCAAAGCATAAATGAAGCTGTGTGTCACAGCCAGGACAGTGGAACTTCCCACCCAATACTGGGAAAAGTTTTCCCAGTCTAAACTACGCATCTCACACGGAGCTGTATTTTTTTACGCAAACACCTCTGTACACATACAATATATTGTAAATAAACAAAATAATTTACACTACTACTGTACTTGCCAGCAGATGCTGTTGTCTTGAGCCTACAGTAGGCATACACTGTCCACTGTTGAATGTAATCCATAACTGTCATCACTTTTTATGTCTTTAACACTTGCAATGGAGGTGGGGTAGGGGATTAGTGGGTCTCATGTTACTGACCTGACCTGATGTAATGTCAGGTTACCCCTTGTTGGGGTGGGGGATTAGTGGGTCTCATGACCAGATGAATGAGGTCTTAAATAAAGACAAAAGCTAAGGTGCTCCAGTGTTTCCCATTTCCTGTACATATTGTACTTTCACACTTAATGAACATACAGTGCAGTATACATAAATGTAATCACTTTTTACATCTTAACACTCCTTTAACACTGTATTCTTGGCCGATTGCTTCCTGTTACAGTAATATACAGTACTGCAAAACTCAAATTTACACAAACAGCAGCAATCAAGGGATCAACCTTGTACAGCGACAGAGGACTATAAACTAAGTGCATCATGATACACCAGGCTTAGAGGGAATAAGCCAGGAGATTTATCAGCCTATCACTGGCATCCCATGCAATCACATACATGACAGTATTAGCCAATTGCAGTGAAGAAGCCTATGACTCAAGTTACCCAAGTGGTTTTCCCACCCACACAGCTGGCATGTGAATGAGGCAGAGCATTATGTAATTTTTATCAGAACTCCCAGAACATTTGTTCGCAGACCCAAAATCGAGAGAATTTTTCCAGAAAAATTCCGGGCCGACTTCCATTCCAGCCATTGGAGAGTTCCAGCTAACGGGGAGATTACTGTTCATACAACACAAGTAAAAATAAAAAATTAAAACTACATTTCTTGGAATCCAAAGAATTAATAAGATAAAGTAAGAGTACACAAGAAGGCAAGTGGAGAAATAAATTGGGGAGGGGCAAGGAAGTTACATTGAGATGCCATGGGGTATACAATGAAAAATTTGGTCGTTGAGAATATTAATTGAGATGAAAAATAGACAACAAAAATTATCTACCCTAAACAGAAACAAGGTGTATATTGGTGACAACAAAGGAAAAACTTGAACCCATCAGCAGAGATAAATTATATAAAAGAATGAGGAACAGCAGATACATGTACTAACAATTCTGAAAATGGAAGGAAGAAAGTATCAAAACAAAGTCCTCCTATACTCCAGCTGCATCTATTCTAAGTACTGTACAGTCTTCTTAATTTGGAGAGGGAGAACGAGTGAATTGTGGTACAGTACCGTATTATGCACTCGTATAAACCTATAGTTACACAGCAATTGTTATGAGAAGGAACAGAGTATCTTGATCAAGTTAGAAAATATATCAATAATTTCATTAAAAAACAAAAGTGTATCGTCAAATAACTCAGAGAGTTACAACTGTATACCTGTACATTAGGATAATAAAGAACAGCAGTATCAGCACCATTAGTGTTTCCTTATTATTTATAACTACTGTATAAGGGATTGTAAAAACATTCAAGGCCTTATATCACATACAGTACAACCATTATTGATGAATTAAAAGTCCAAACCTGTTCACAGAGCACCTTTAACAAGTACTGTAATAATGGATCTCTTACAGTATAGTATAGTATAATCAATGTCAATTCAAGGTCTGCCCCCCAACCTCTGTAGATCATCACAAGTCTTCATTATCTTCCTCCCATCTACAAGAGTACATAAGGATTTCTTCCAAGAAAATGAATACCCTGTACTGCATCTACCTAGTTGACAAAGTACATTGCAGTGGTAACATGCTCAGGATACAATATATACACTTGTAGTTTAATGTTGGCCTTCTAATACATAACTAGAATCCAACAGAGAATAATAATAAGATGACTTGTAACAATCACTCCAACAGTCTTTTAATAAGTCTGAGAGTACAAAAACCATCCACATCTTCCAAATAAGCGTACTTATGTACCGGTATCTAAGAATAATCTAACTTGAATGTCCAACTCCATTTTGGTAAATATTTCTTTTAAAATTAAAGTTATTTACATCTGTAAATAATTTAGTACATACTGGTATTTTTTTATGGTGAAGATATTTTGTGATCACAATACCTTACAGAATACAGTACACACTTAAATTTAAAACCAGAACAGTACAAGAAACAAAAATTTGTGAATACATAGTGAAAAATGTGCATTAAGAGCTTTGTGATATGTCTTGATAAAAGGGTAAGTCATCCATTTATTTTTATGTTATTCAAAGGGTAATAAAAAGTGTATATAAGTTATCCAAGACTGCTTAACTATGCTGAAAGTAAAATAATAATACTGTATATATATGCATTGTAAAAGATTTTACAACACTTTACTCTAACACAGCGTGGTCACTTGAGAAGCTTTCTAAATGCTGTACTGTAATTATAAAACAGATTATAGTTATACCAGGGTGTCTCAAAAGTCCCCATACTCAAAGTTTAGACATTTATTGCATGATATATACGGTACATATCTTTAGAAAAACTGTTTGATTACCACACACACATATATATATATATATATATATATATATATATATATATATATATATATATATATATATATATATATATATATATATATATATATATATATATATATATATATATATATATATATATATATATATATATATATATATATATATATATGTATGTATATGTATATGTATATGTGTGTGTGTGTGTGTGTGTGTGTATAAGGTATTCGAACAGTTTTTCTAAAGATATGTACCGTATATATCATGCAATAAATGTCTAAACTTTGAGTATGGGGACTTTTGAGACACCCTGTAGTTTTCTTTGAAGTAAGATTAAGTATTGAACTGATTCTTTCAATAGTACCTGGTGTTCCCCAAGAGCCATTTGTGGTTTATAATGTGTATGTTAGTGAACAGTACAAAATGGTTCACATTTAACCAAGTTAAATTATCAGTGATATGGGATAAATGCCAAGAATGATGAAGAACAAATATTTTGAAGAATATTGGAGTCAATAGCACCGTCCTGCTCCCTATATTCCACCAATACACCATGATGCTCTTCACATTACAGTGTATACTTGGACTTATACAGTAGAATGACCATGAAGGGATCAAGTAAAAAATATTAATTAAACAATATGAGTGAGAAGAAAAGATGTCCTAAGTTTTCTAGATAAGTGGTTCGTAAACTGAGTTACACTGTGACATTATGTCAGCTTACAGGGGGTAAGTGTAAAAACTTTCAAGAATCACTGCTCTAGACATTAAAAATGCATGTACTGTACTGTACTCTGGAAGTGCTATCATTGCATCTTAGAAATGACCATAGTATGGTGCTATCATCATAAATTGAATAAATTAGTTTAGTGGCTAAATTTGAATGCTGCAAGCAGTACACACATTATTAGCTACACATAGGTGGCAATAATGTGTTTTACCTAATCTAGTTATGTTAAACTCTTAATCCATGAAAATAAGTAACTTTTATGCAACTTCTTATAAATTATAAAATTATGACATGCTGCTTTCTGTGCACTAAGGTACACTGGCCTAATCCATTGCAAACTTAAAAGGGGATTAAGAATAAGTATGCATCAAAATATCAAGTGTGAGAAACAAGAAAATTTTACTTGAGCACAAGAATGTGCTGTACATTACTGTACACTTCTTAACTATATCATCATGGGTTTCCTCTGGAAAGTAACTCCTATTAAAAATATCACAAAATCAAGACTAAGTCATATTTGTAGTGTAAAACATTTCTGCTTGCTGTTTTAACCATTTCTTGTTGCTTCAAACACTTGTCTTACACAACTCCTATTTCTCCCATTCTGAGTTTTCTCTGTCCCTTGATCTATCTCACACTAAAGTGGTACAGTATAAAGGAAAAACACAAACAAAACCTCATACTGATTAATCTCCCTATTAACAATACTCTAACCTTTGTGAAACAAACAAACAAAGGCATGATATGTACTATATTTAAACACATTAGCAAAACAATATATATTAATGTACTATTATACCATTATATATCCTCTCAGGTATAGTCATTACAGGGGCAATCCAGGGTGGGAGGAGTTCTGGGGGTCCAAACTCCCTCTCCCCATTTTCATCAGAAAATTCCAATAATTTTTTCTTTAATGCAGGCATTTTTGTATAGTAAAAAGTAATTACTATTAACTTCAGAATATCTCCTAATATCAAGTGCACATGGCTTCAAAATGCCCATGATATTGGTCAATGCTGGGTGGGCTCACTTTGCTCACCATGTTCCCTCATCCACAACTTCTTGGACCCCCCCCCCCCTTCACTTGATATTCCTGGATCTGCCCTTGCATTAAGATTATTTTATGTTAAGGATTATTGACTTCTGGTATTGGTTAAATTGGCCTAAAACCATACTGGTATTGTATAACTAAAACAAATCCTATCACCAATGAGAATAGGAGATGTAAATGGCTATAGTTAAGATAATTAGCTATCAAGTGTAGTTCTAAGAGATGATCACTTGGTAAAGTGTATGACTGTAGAGATGCAAGTGCTTAATACATAAACCAACAACAGCCTCCTACAAAGGATCTGCCTATATTGAACTATAATCCTCACATTTTGTGTTGAATTAATGAGGAAAATCAGACTGATTTCACAACACCCAACCTTCTTCATGACGCCGACAATAAATTATGGAATACCTTAAACTAATAATGGAAGCACCATCTTACAATAAATATTAGGTCACATTTGTTATAAAAAAAAAAAAAAAATGCAAACAAAGTATGATACAATTCATTCACAAAACACAAGCATTTACTTAACCCTTAAATGGTGGGTAAGGATTTCCTAATCTGCCCCCACATACCCCAAAATGGAGAGCAAGGAACACATAAGTTTCACTGATGTTGGCTGCCATTTAAGGGTTAAAAATTCTAAATGTTGACAAATAGTAACTTTGACCCTGGGATTACCCACTCTCTAGGAGACAGTCCAAATTTTACCATAAGGTTAATGGTATGAGGGGAAAATTTTATGTACTGTATTCCTGATTACAATGACTCCTTTGAATCATAACTACCCTGGCTTCAGATTAAACAAAGTTAAACCTACTCCACAAATGTGAGATTTTTTTTCAAGAAAATAAACCAATAAACTTGTTCAAAGGAATATCCATACAGTCGTACAAAACAATGCACAAATATGTTAATTAAGGTAAAGTTTGACAAAAGAGGGAGACAAATTTTAAAACCCTTACCCTACCTTCCCCAATACTGTACTACATGCTAAATTTGTGCTTGTAGATTTGTGGTTCAAAAGATTTAAAAAATGTATCCGCTGTGAATGGTAGGCTCCTTGTCTGTATACTGATCTTGTTAATAAATACTCCTCAGTCTCTACTCACCCCTCAAGATTGAATTATAAAAAAGCACTTGGGAACTTCATATTTTTTTTATCCTATGTGGTTATCAGCATACACATGGATCATGCACACCTATAGTGATTTAATATATATATATATATATATATATATATATATATATATATATATATATATATATATATATATATATATATATATATATTATTAGGTGAGTATAGATTATAGAAAACTGATATACAGAGGAGGGTGAGATCAGGTCCACAATGGTGAGAAGGTTGGGTCACCTTACCCTCTGACCTGACTACCGACCGTTGCGGTGCTATTTAAAGATTAGTAGGGTCATTACCTAATACCTGACCATTGTGGACCTGATCTCACCCTCCTCTGTATATATACACTTTGTTTTGTACTTCTCCTTAGTCTGTACTCACCCCTGAAGATGTGAATTACACGAAAGCGCTTGGGAACTTCGTGTTTTCTTCTTTCCTTGTGGTTATCAGCATATACCTAGATCACGCGCACCTACAGTGATTTACTTGCATATATATATATATATATATATATATATATATATATATATATATATATATATATATATATATATATATATATATATATATATATATATATATATATATATATATACGGTATATATATATATATATACACACACACACACAAGTACTGTATATATATGAGGACCCCCTTTCCTGTAAAGTAATAGTTATGTAAAATACATAACCACATATGCCTTACAACTGTGACTCTTGATCATATTAGAACCACCCATGAATGTACAGTGTGTTCTGTTCATCAATTTATTTTTCACCACCAATAGCGTTGAAACAAAAACCTACATCAACCATGTGTATGCAGTTAACTATTATTTTGGATTGGAAATGGTGTGTGTGTGTGTGTGTGTGTGTGTGTGTGTGCAGTATATTGTTATGGGTTGCGCTAGATTTATCAACGTAACCAACTCTAAATGTTTGTTTTACTAGAGATAACACACCCGGTGAGCCATGACATCATTATTCCATTAGCGGGCATGTGAGCCTGTCTATGGGCGGCAACTCAGACAGTGTTGTATTGTTCATCAGTGTTTCACGCCCCAAACCCACATTTTGGTGAGTAAGCCCTAGACCATGGGTTAGTTAAGACGTCCTCACCCTCCCCATCCTTTACCACGACCCGTCCTGTGGACTGTCAGTGACACGAGACTAAGTGTGCCAACCCAAGGTTTGTTATTCCCCGTGGAAAGATCACGTGTGGAAGCCTGGTTGCGACAAGAGCAATCCAGGCTGGCCAAATGAACCCAAGTGGTTAATAAAGTCACCTTACCAGTTCTCCTGTGCGACAGTCTACAATGACTGTCAGTGAAACGAGACTGTGTGTGCTAACCCAAGATTTTGTTATTCCCCGTGTAAAGAAGATCATGTGTGAAAGCCTGGTTGCAACAAGAGCGATCCCAGCTGGCATTGAAAGTATCACTCGAGTAATTAAGGCTCCGTAAAGTTTTATCCATAGTAGAGTAATCAAATGTGCGTCCCCAGGTGAAAAATCCCTCTTTACAAGATTAATTTTATAATGGTGTGAATGTGAGTGACTCATATATCCTTGCAAATTATAAATCATTGTATGAAAGCTTGCCAAATAAATGTAAGTGCAATTATCTGCCCATATCTGTGATCCCTATCTTATTATTACTAAAGGTAATGACTGATTGGTTATGACAAAGTCTAACCAATAACTTAGATGGATGTTGGAAATTAATGGAATTCATTCAAATCATTTATCAAGTATAAATCACATGGAATGTCGGGCGATGGAGTGAATTTCTACGTAGATACACCATAATCTCCTGTAAGTAACCAGTGTGAAGGTATCGAACATTTCGGTAAGAAATTAAGAAACACAAAACATAATATAATATACCAACCACCATCTCGACCTATATACTGTAATGTATATACTGTACATTACTGACAGAACTGTATAAAATCCCGAGTAATTTAGACACACGAATTGACTACAGCATTTAGTTACAATTGCACATTGCCTCCGTCTACCTACAAGCACACAGTAAACTATGACCTTTACTCTAAAACCATTCACAGTATATATGAGCAGCAGCAAAATCTGGAGCCATACAACTAGTTTGTACGTGGATGGATTAAAGGTAAAGCTTTGGTAGTCTTTCATGATATGGTGATAGTCACAGCCAAGACAAGTCACTTAACAAATTTAAGTAACAGATTTAAGTAATATTACATGCTACGAAGTATTAAGAAGCGATGTAGAGATTTAACATGTTCATCCTGTCATCAAGTATCATGAAATTTGGTGCAAATGAACAAAAATCTCGGTCAATGATGGATGAGGTATAGTTAATTTGTGTCATAGTATTCTAATGCGAGCACTACCGTACTGGCAGTACGAGTCAAGTGCCCAGCTGATCTTTCACTGCTGGAGGATCACCCCCTTGATGTGGCTGTTCCCGAGCGTTTTACCTGTCCCTGCCGGATTACGAGTAGTTACCGGGTATATCAAGTATTATCAGCTAAATAAATGATTTGGGATATATTCAGCTGGACAAACTGTATTACTGTGCTATATGTTTGGTGTCATTTGTTTCTGTTTGCTTTATGTTTGGTACAAAACAAAGAAATAATGAAAAGACTTCATTCGAAAATGAAATTCATCTTTGACTTTGACCTTTATGATAAATATTAAAAATGTTCTACCTCCTCTGATGTGCTAATGCCTTAAAATAATTTGCATTTTGATATTTCAGATACTGTATTTAACATTATTTTAGAGAATAACAGGTCTGCTTCCCAATTGTGAACACATTTTAGTTTGAACAAATGGACAGCTACACAAACATTTTCTATGAATGAATCAGCTATTTGTAGCCATAGACAAGGGGCTCGGGTTATGGGCCAGGTTAGCGTGGATAAAGTATAGTAGTAAATATGATACAGTACTCTAATTATATCAGTTAAGTGACAACAAAATCAGACAGAGAACATGAGACAATTGCCAGCCTATTATGATACTTCCCTAGTTGACTGGAAAAATCTGACATATGAAGTACTGAGCTACGTGGGTATTTCTAATGTTTCAGATTGCAAAATTTAATGCATTTGACAAGCAATTTGAGCAATTAAATTTCTAAACCCATTACCAACATTCTCTTTGACAAAGGAGACATATGATATTGGTATTATCAGTTAAGGTTTAGGAAGGACAGTAATCACCCCCCATTCATGGTCTGAATACAACTTTTTATCCTCCACACTATAAATACCTGATCCTTTGGTCACAGTACTGTAAGAAGACAATTACAGTACAGTAATATTCAAAAATATATTTGGCTATTAATCAGTCATGCTTCCTAAAGTTCAAGACTACTATCACTGGCCAAAAAACTGCACATGGAATTGAAAATTAAATGAAGAGAAATATAACCAATAGGGTGAAGGCTGGTTAGGAAAACACTAGAGGATAAAGAAGTGTTATACCTGAAGGACAGTGTAATGTGTAAACATGCATAACAAACCAAGAATCATGGCTGCAGTTTGAATGCAAATGATAAAACACTTGGTGGTTGTGAGAGAATGATCATCTGAATTCTCCTTGAGTTGTGCTTTCATCCATGACCAAGGCCTGACATTTAATGACCCAAATAGTTGGAGGATTCATTTATTACAATACAGTATTCAAATGTGCAATTCCTCACCCCAGGTGTGTTCAGTAAATCTATATCCTAAGTGTATATCCATATCTAAGTGTAGATATATATTTCAAGTGTAAATTCATGTATCATATGTAAATCTACTTGCCAAGTATAAATCCATATATCATGTGTAAATCTATATCCCAAGTGTAAACCTATTTACTGAGTGTAAATCAACAACCCAAGGATAAATCTACAATCCCACATCCCAAGTGTAAAATCTACATCCTATTCCATTACTCATTTGGTCACTTTCTATAATAAGACAGCACTCTGGGTGTGTTACTAATCTGCTTTAGTTACTATAATCACAACAATACTGTATATAACTAGCATGTGTTTCATACATTGAATATGCAAACAAAATATTGCACAAATAAAAACAAAAATTATTTTAAGCACCTTTGCATATGTATACAACCATTAGGTTCTTTCCCCGTAATTATATACAGTAATGCACTTTGAAACTTAATACTAGAAATGCACACGATATTATAGTTTACAACACCTCTTTAATCAATTCCAAGCCGTAAAATGTCAGTATTCTCCAAAATTTCTACTTTGGGTTCCTCGGACTTGGTAGGTGACTGAGGCTCTAAGGTGTTAGAAATCATTGCACTTGCGACTGTGTCAGTTCCAATGCTGATTTTGTTTCGCCAGTCAAAACCTCGGACTACAATCTGCAAAGGTAAATACAGTAAGGAGAGATATATAACACATCTTCAATCTTCTAATTACGCCAAAAAAATTAATCTATAATGAAAATATGGATGTTGCTGACAAGTAAAGGATATACAAGTTGGAGATACAGTACTGTGTCAGTGAGTACAAGTGGGTATTTTTACTTGATATCCTAGTCCTTTCCTGTCACTCTTTACTTGTCATCTACCACCCAATTACTATTTCTTCCTCTTTCATGGAGGTTTCTGTAACCCTTGATCTACCCTACACTAAAGTGGAAGAACAATGAAGACAATAGACACAACAAATCCAATATGTGATCAGCGAGTTTTACTGAGGAATTCTACCTGAACTTTAGTAAATAATGTCTGTACAGAATATCAGGATGTGACTCAGATTTTACTGTAAATAACTTGGCACAATCACACAACTCATTTTTTAGCCTTGACTCAATTAATGTTATTCTTTCAATTTTAAGCACCAACCAACCTCAAAATAATCTTCACAAGATACAGTTTTTAAAGTAATTTGCCGAGTTTTTTATTTAATTCACATTAGGAATTTATAATTTATCATAAAGAGTTTTCATAGATTCCAATGTCTTTCTCCTTAATTTGATCTTATTTAATTAGGCAAGTAAAGATATTCTTTGTTTTATGATTGTGTTTCTCTTGCTGAACATTTCAAGAGACAGGCATGGTAAGGTTCTTCGATGTCTGGTAACTCACATAGATGATAATGCTAACTGTATGTTACGGGGGGTTTCCGGCAATCTATCTAAGAACACCAAACCTATCGTGGTTTTGCATCTATAGAAAAAGTTAATTTTTCCTCGGTCACACATACATTCTTGGCAGCTTGGCTCTGGCTCTCAGTACAACCATGATCAAAATATACCAGGTCAGTTAGACAGGAGTCCCAAATAACCCCACTCTACACTTGGCGTCACGGGAGCTACGGGCTCCCCAGTGAGAGACTGCAGGTAAGAGTAAAGCTTGCCACACTTACCTGTTTATATATAAGTACTTATTTCCTTATTTACTTTTACTTCACTAATTTTTTTAAGTTTGGTAATGATGATCAACACTCCCTATTTGGAACTAAAAAGATAATAATTTCTAGTTTAAAAGGTGTTGAATAAAATCGTCTTAGACTTAGCTAAATAAAATATTAAAAGTGCAGTCTCCATAGTGAAGGAGTTAGTGAAGATAGTCTACTAATAATACAGTACCAGTAAAGTAGACCCTTCCCATTTGTGGGTTTATGATTCACGATTTCGACGATTTGCGGTAAGCAGCTGGTGGCTCGGGTGGCTAGCATGCGAGCCTTCTCCCTCAGCACAACGAGTCACCCCATGTGCCTGCGGCGTCTCATCTCGCTCTGTTTGCCCTTACCCAGTACCCGTTACCTAGCATCCCATGCATACTCTCAAAACTATTGTGTTTCTTTGTGAAAATGGCCCCGAAAAAACTGCCTAGCATCAGTGCTAGTGATGCTAGTGGAGTGAAACCTAAAAGGCAAAAGTCAGTGACGACCTTGGCAAAGAAAATTGAATTATTAGACAAGTTAAAAAGAGGGGATGAGTGCTACTGCGGTTGGTCGGTTGTTTGGTGTGAACGAATCCACAGTGCGGTACACAAGAAAGAATGAACAAGTAATTCATGATTCTGTTCAAACGAGTACTCCTGCAAGTGCTAAAGTGGAGCAGGTTGTTCGTGACAAAAACATAGTAAAAACTGAGAAAGCACTGAACATTTGGATTGAGGACCAGCACCGCAAAAATGTTCCGATTGACAGCAACGTAATTCGTGAATGGGCTAAAAGTTTTTATGCTCATTTTTACAAATCAACAGGTGGTGAAAGGGCTAGTGCAGTGACTGAACCAACTTTTAGTGCCAGTAAAGTTTGGTTCGAGAATTTGAAGAAAAGATTCTCGCTCCATAATATGAAGCTGACTGGGGAGGCCGCATCAGCTGACCAGACAGCTGCAGGTGCATTTCCTGCCAAGCTAAAGAAAATAATAGAAGAGAAAGGCTATAGACCAGAGTAAGTGTTTAATGCCAATGAATCTGGTTTATATTAGAAGAAAATTCCTGGTAGAACATACATAAACAAACACGAGAGGCTCATCTTCTGTGGCAATGCGGTTGGCCACATGATCAAGCCTGGCTTGAAACGCAGCCTTAAGATAGTCCGAGTTATCAACCAGGTATTGTTTCCCTATCAGGATATGTTTAAGGAACTCAAAGCCAAGAGGAAACAACTTCCAATCACCATGTTTTTCAAAAACAAACCAGCTACCACCCTCCTCTTCTCAGCCACCCACCACCCACCTCCTGGTCGCCTGCCTCTCCACCAACCACCACTGATTCACCCTCTTCCACCAGTGATCTTGATGATCCACCTATGCTTTAGTAACCAGATGTCTCCTTATGTACAGTGCATCACTTCATCAAGCTCCAGACTTCCACATATGAATGTAAGTACAGTATTGTGACTTAAGTTTCTCATATACAGTATAGGTAGACCTGTATATTAGTGCACTAAGGTATTATGTAAGTGGCTTTTCGCGGTTTTGGCAATTTGCCCCATTTCCTGGAACCTATCCTTCGCGAATGGCAAGGGTCTACTGTATTGTACATCAGCAGTACAGTATGTTTACCTATCAATATAATACTGTATACATTTTTATCTTCACACCTGTTGCCACAATAAGGGTCATTAAAGTATCAAATAAAACTTGCAATATCTAACATCATAGTTTAGATATATCTTTTATCTATTTATTATACTGTACATTGCATATTATAATATTTAACCCCGAATTTTATATTTTTACAAGTTTTAGATGTCTACTATCGTCATATTATTCTGATACTGTACAGTGGGGTATGCTATAACGAACGTAATTGGTTCCAGAACCTCGTTCGTTATAGGATTAATCCGTTCCGGGCCCCCAAATACAACCACTTAACACTGAAAAAATTCTGTGGAAAATGTAAAAAATACGGTACTTTATCTTACCTTAGTGTTATTCAGCATGCAGGTACCCCTAAACACTGGCACATCACTGTCACTTCCACTGGGAGTCTTGGCTTTAAGGTCCTCAAACAATTGTTTAGCCTTCTCACAAATTATAGCTTCACTAATGTTACCACCTGCCATTTCTTTCTCCTTTATCCACACTAAGAGTAAATTTTCCATCTCTTCAATCACATTACACCTTGCTTTGCCAAGTCTAAAGATTCCCTTAGCCACTTGCACAGTTTTTTAACTCCTCTTTATTCTTCAAAATCGTACATATAGTCGATTTAGCCATCCCATATTCATCACTAAGTTTCGCAATGCTTCTTCCATTCTCACGTTTCTTTATAATTTCTTTCTTAGTTTCAAGGGTTATTAGCTTTCTCACTCGCTTTGGACGACTCATTGTTACAATTGTATACTTGTATAACAAAATAGTTATACAAATAACGCAAATTTCCACATCAAAAGACGAAATTTCAACAATAACAGTGGTGCACTGGCTACACAATGAGACAAAGATGGCGCCTGACGCTCTTGTTGTGGGTCGCGGTACAACAATATTCATGCGCCAGGCGAAATAGTCCGGTATTCATCCGCGTTCGTTGTAGGAGTTGCATTCGTTATAGCATTCTCAATTTTATAGGTAAAACCGTTCGTTATAGGAATATTCGTAGTAGGATCCGTTCGTTATAGCATACCCCACTGTATAAAGATAATTTTTTTTTTCATAACGATACTCATGATAATACTTGCATTATTCAAACCACAATTCCATATTTAAACAATAAGCCACTCGAACCCACCATGCTTAAATTGCCATGAAGAACTAAAACAATAATTTCAAATAAAATGAAAACTACAGTACTTGCTACTTACAGTATTCAAATCACACTTACCATTATACAGAGAGAGAGAGGGTACAGCATCCTTCTTCAGGTGTCTTTTGTTCTTATAGGACTTTCAATTCCAAGCAAACGAGACTTCATATCACCAATGTAGTCACATTTAATAAAGAGGATGGTACAAATAACAGCATTCATTGGATTCACTTAATCAGCACAATGACAAGAATTTACCCGCGGTTTTCTTACGCGTGTTTCTCTTGGGAATCTAAAGTAGCAAACATCTGAACCTGCTGTCTTTAATTTCATATTAAAGCAGCCCAAAACAGCACAGTTAGCTGGCATAGTTACACAAAATCACCGAAATGTTGTTTAAAAACAGGAGACACTGCACTCCAAGCTACAGTAGTACCCCGCTTAACGCGGTCAATAAAACCCACAGGGTACCGTGTTAAGTGAAAACCGCGCTAAGTGAACAACAGAACATATGGGATAAATTCCAATAGAAACTGGCCCGACCCCCAAACTCCACTTTTTGACGACACATAACTATGTTGTAGTAAAAATTTTATCTTAACTTTATGATGGTATGAACAAACAAGTAATATAGAAGAGGTTAGGTTAGGAAAAATAAAGGTTAAGTTAGGAAAAATAAAGGTTAGGTTAGGAAAATTAAAAGTTAGGTGTTACACTTACGTTAGTAGAAGACACACACTGCGCAACCTTACAGCGCGGCTTGCCCAGGCGGAGGGAGGCGGGAGGGAGGGAGGAGGAGGGAGAGGCGAGAGCAGGCAGGCAGGCGGGTGGTGGGTGTGGCGAATCTAAAAATAGCGTCTCGAGCTGGACACTCACAGCGTATACGTGGAAAAAACCCGCGTTAAGTGAAAGTTCGGCTCTGGCGAGGCACCGCGTATACGTGGAAAAAACCCGCGTTAAGTGAAAGTTCGGCTCTGGCGAGGCACCGCGTATACGGTAAAACGCGCTAAGCGAAACCGCGTTAAGCGGGGTATTACTGTACTCTGTTGTCTGCAGCCTGGTTTGAGTAAAATTGGCACCTGGTGTTCTACCCTCAGTTACGTTGTGGGAATTGTAGTGTAAAGTACATGAACAGTTTTTTCTTCCAGATTTAGTGTTAGTGTTTATACAAAGACCACTGACCTGGCCCGAGAGTGGGGTGTGCGTGTGTGACCAACTGACCACATCAAACAAAACCACACATGAGTACCGGTACCAGGCAAGATAATCAGAAAGCAACAGCCTTGAGTCTAATCCCTTTGATTTCTAAGTGGATTTAACACAGTAGGTAAGCCAGTGTAAAAGTAATAGTGAGATATTTTTACAGCTAACCATCTCTTGTGAACAGTGTTCATAATTGTTCTTTTATAAATAAATAAATACAGAAAACTAAGTTGTATGTATCATGTGATACCACTTGTGAGGATGCTAAATAGATGTATTTACCTACGATGTTAAGTGTATTTAAATTTTGGTGATGACTAACATAGCTAACAATGGTGGAACTGGTGGCAGTGACTAAAAACAGTGAATACCACAACATCCACCAGAGTGGGTTTGTTAACAGAGTATAACCAAGGAACACTCTCTACATCCCTTGAGTGTAACCTACCATGGCAAGTTTTAGCCCTTGTGGCATCATAGGCCTGACTAGTGTGGGAGGGAACCTGCATGCTGGCCGATCTGGTGTATTTTGACTACGAGTACAACTGTATTCTGTGAGTCACCGAAAGTCTGGTGTTGCCGGGAACTCCCAAACGCCTGGACAGCAGTGAGGACAGTCTCAGCTGTAACACTTGGCACCATTCAAGCCTCACGCCCCCAAAATACAGTACCTTCATTTGATGGCCTGTATTATATAAGGTTGATTTTTTTTTAATATTCTGTACAATTACTTAAACAAACATTTAGATAAAATTGTCAAAATTGTTTTGGTATAAAATTGGTGTTTCTAACATAATTAAAACTGATAATAGACTCTGCTATAAATATTTTTTTTTTTCATAAAAGGATTGAGTTCCCATCATTATATCATGTCAAAATATTTTGTTTAAGGATCTGTAGAGTTGAAAAAACCCTTTTCATAAATAATAATTTGGGAGATTGTACAGTATAAGTTAATGGCTTCATTACAGTATTCAATTGGTCATATCTGTACAATTTAACCCCCTGATATTAGAGGGGTGGGGTGGGGGTGACATACTATGGACCCCAGTGACAGTGCTTCCTAACTCGGTTAATTAAGAATATCCATTACATTTAAAATACTCTACTGTATAGCCAAAGAACCCCCCCCCCCCGCCATCACAAACACAAAAAAGGATAATTTATATGGAGTGTTTGGTATTAGGAAAACCTACACTGCTTCTCTCCTCTGATGACCAAACTTCCTGCACAACATGAAAGACTGACAATTTTCAAGTACTGTACTGTAATGTACCATGAAAGACCTAAGAAAATTTTGTGAAGTTCTAAGACCTCACAACTTATTCTGTGTACTATATATAAGGAGGAATGTAAGTCGAGGACACCATGAATCATTCCCCGACAGTGCCTAAATATAAATACCTGTGCAACCTTCTCTAAAGGTCTGGACTCCTCGCGGTCACAAAGAAGGAGCGATGGCCGGTATATTGAGAGACGTGGAAAATTTAATTCCTTTACCAGTTCCTCAGCCTCACCTGAAAAATAAAATATGAATCATGTTTATGCCACCCACAACACCCTTCCTTAAATCAACAAATGAATCTGGGAGTGACAGCAACATTTAAAATGAATTTATAGTACATGAGGCAAGATATTATATCAGTTGTTTGAAGCTGTCAGCCTCTTCTCATACAGAAAACAACAAACTGGATTGGTAAGTCGAGAGTATACTCATTTTGAATGTCCAATCAATAAAATTGAAAAAAAAAAAATAGTTATCAAATGACTATAACTGTATGCATGAAAACTATACACAGTACAATTTTTAAATCAAAGTGTCATCCTTATGACTGTATGCTATATACATTACATCTAGGTGAAGTGAACTTAATCACATACAGTATTGTACCATACAGTAAACAGTCCTAATTGCTGCTGAAAAGATCAATCAGTTTTAAGCATTGGTAACTATGTACAAAATTTTTGCAATGGAAGCCACACATCTGGTGTGGTCATGAGCAGCATACTGGTACATAGTGCAGTACACAATAGGGGCACTATCTCTCTTTCTGGACACATGGTGTTACAGATTGTTTTCTTTGGAATTTATACTTAATATTTACCTTTGGTCTTGTTGTAAAGGAACATTGAGGTCTTGTTAGCACCTGTGGAGGAAACCAGATGAAAGTGTGAACAGCCTCCTTCCTTTAATAAACGGGCAGCATGACTCACATAGTCTCTGTCTACATGAATGAATCCCTTAGCACCAGCCTTGCCTCTTGTTGTTCCTAGACAGCAGAATCCAACCTGAGGGATAAATTGATGATACATTTGTTAGTTTATCAATACAGTATTTATACTGTATAGTGTTGATATGTTGTTCAGTACAGTATTGTGCTATCATTTACAAAATGTAGTATTGCAGCTAAATATATCGCAATTGTAAAATTTATCTAATACTGCTAGGAAATAGTGTAAAAGTGTAAAACCAAATCTGATATGAGTTAATGAAAATGTATCAAATAGGTAAAGAAAAAATAAAGTGATAAAATCAGTAATCTATCACATTAATGAGTACTGTACAGTATATTCCTTACCTGTGCTCCTCCAAATGCTTCTTTGTAGTCATCCAACTTCTCAAAGTCTACAATCTTTTGTTCTACCTTTTCACTCTGAATGTCTAACTGACGTCTTGTTACTAAAACAATACGAGAGAAGGCAGCATTGGCGACGAGTTCTCGGACCAGTTGTTTGCCGATCTCCCCAGACCCACCCAATACCAGTGCAGTCATCCCTTCACTCATGGCACCTGGTGGCTGAGAGAAGTCTGCATTTAGTCAATATGAATGAGAGCAACATAGGTATAATAAATAATAGTAGTATTTCCCCACTTTTCTCATCTAACTCTCAACAACATTTTCCACCTTTTTTTTTTGAGGTCTCGATTTTCCTTAATTCATCACATGAAAGTGTGATTTCCCATAATGTATACTAAAGTATGGGAGCTGGAAAATGATTACAGATAAGTAGACTTCCACAATTTGCTCCACCGGGAGAAACTAAGTACATGTACTGTACACGAATGTGGAGATAATATGTAGTATTTAAACAGGTAGATACAAAAAGAGAGAAGATACAGTATAATTGGGGTTTTTATGTTCAGAAGAACGAGGGATTTTGACTATTAATTGCTGTATATGAGGAGCACAGAACCATAAGTAAACCAAGTGCCGTCAAGCCCCAAAACTATATGTATGATGTCTTTCACTAGATCAATTAAATCTGAACTAACAATGCTACAATCTGTCACTTGAATCACTTCAATATCTTCACTGGTTCAAAAGTTATGGTAATTTAAATGTTGGACAAACTTTAGCTGTCTTTTCTCTGTTTTTCATATATACTCCGCTTATCCTACTTCGATTCTGTGTGCCTCGTTAAACAGTACACTGTACAGCACTGACATTTCCAATATTGTTCATAGAAATAAAAAATTTAACACAAAAACATGATCTTTCTTGCGGTGATCAACAAATGCTTTACTCAAGGGCACAATACAAATTGATATTAAGATGTGTGACACTTACCAGGTAGGTCTTGTATGAAGCAAGAGGGGGTAAATATCTTGTGACTTTGTTCTAGAAGAGGAACACCACAACAGAAAATGTCTAGTTAGGCATTTAAGATTAACCACCTCAATGCTAACCTATCCTAACCCCTTAGGTAGTTAGGGTGCTTAATCAAATGAAAAAAGCTGGGTGGGCTTCTCCTAAGCAATATGCTGTAACATGTATCCCTCGATATATGAACGTTTTGAGATATGAAGCTTATACAAATTTCCTAAATTAACACCACTATTTTGAGATACGAAAGCTTCCCCCACTTACACTGTATTAGCACAAACACTGCATTTACCAGTATTCATACAGTGGCCAGGAATTAAACGAAAAAATCTGTACCTTGGCAATAATGAACTTACAAGCTTGGGGGCTCGCTGAAAGACAGGGGACCTCATAGAGGTTTATAATGTCCTGCAAGACCTGTTGATGATGATGGTAGCAAGTTTATTAACCATATAAAATTTATGGTTTTCAATTATACAACAAATATTACAAATGTATAAACTAAAACTGGTATTTGTTGTAACACATAAAGTGCAACTCTGAAGGGGAGCAATTAAAATACAACATTGAATACAGTATACAGTAGTATTTCATCCTCGGATTTTGCTCCCAGACCTGGAAAAAAAATTGGAAAGAGTTTCCACAGTTTTCCAGAATTACGCATAATTTTTTCCTTGGAATTTTCCCCCAGACCTGAAAAAAAAATGAGTTTCTGGAAATTTTCTTGGATTTTGTCAAAATTACGCATTACTTCATCCTCAAAATTTTCTCCCAGACCCAGAAAAATTGGAGAATTTTCGAAAGTTTTCATGGAATTTTTCCAGAAAATGTGCCCGATTTTTATCCTCTGAAACTCATTCAGACCCGGAAATAAGAGAATTTTTCTGGAAAAATTCCAAGCCAATTTAAATTACGGGTACAGTATTGGAGAGTTCCGGCTAACAGAGGTATTACAAGTATTGTCACCTTGAGACAAATGGCATTTGTTACTAAATATAGTATGTACAGGTACTATACCAGCAGTTCATGGATAAGGTGGTGGAACTAAGAAAAATTAATTTTAAAACACAGTATTTAAAAAGTAGCAACTGAGGCATAGGTTCCATGGTTTTGGTGCTCTAGCGAAGTGGCAAAAATCTTCCAAGAATGTTCTTATAGTTGATGGATTTAATATTAAAAATTATGGACCTTTTTTTTACAACTTTCCCTTATTTACCAGTACCTACCTTTATTTTATTTACCTAATGGATCCCTATACTGTTTTTGATAATTTTGTCAAAAGGCTATTTTGAAGCCCAGTACAGGTACTCCTCGACGTACGACCTACTCAACATATGACTGCCGCAGTCGTACAAAATTCTTTTCAAATTCCGTACGTATTTTCTAGTACCGAAACGCTTCCATCCCGTACGACAGCATGGCGTGGGCTGGGCCGCCACGTGGTGTACAGCGTCCACACCGTAGCACGCTCAGCTGGTGTTTGGCCGTCGTTGTTGTCGGTAGTGATTGCTCTGTGTACTGACAATATTTTCGTTTCAAATTCTCTTTAAAATGATTGGCAAGCGTAAAAGTAAGAGTTCTGGTGGTGCTCAGAAGAAAAAAAGACAGTCAATTACTTTTGAGATGAAAATAAAAATAATAATGCAACATGAAAATGGAAAAACGGTAGCAACCATTTCACGCAACCTAGATCTTTCTGTACACAGTAATCCAGATTGGGACATACTTGAGATATGCACAGTTGAAGGAGCATTTTCTTATTTTTGTATTCAAAGGCAAAAGTCTCTGATACTGTCGCTTCAATAAATCATGATCTTTTACTCTTCAGTGTACGTCCCCTCTTCCCGGAGGATGTATGCACGCTTTATAATTCCCAAATTTTGATATGCTGCCCTCACTTGTTGTGCTGCCTTTGTTGAATGATCTATTACAAAGCCAAGATCTTTTTTTTATCGACAGTATCCAGGAAAGTGTTATTAACAGAAGTGTTGTACTTAGGGTTATTATATCATACGTGCAGGGTTCTCCCATTTCATAATGTTAAAGAGCATTTGGCAGTCTCGAAACCATTTGAACAGCTTACTTGGCAAACATAAAAGGTTACATTCCACTTGCATGATCATCTGTTTTATGCTAATTAACATAACCTAATCTAACCAAACCTAACCTGATTATTTAACTAATATGGTAAGAATTGCATAAAACAGACAATCATCCAAGTGAGATTACACCACATAAAATAAAAAATGACCTCTGTGCCTTCACAGTCCCAAGAATTGACAAAAACTATTAATTAACTATGTCTTATTTTATCATAAATGAATCGCGGGTGAACTCATTTGAGACTAGACTCGACCAACCCTGTCACAAATTCAGTGCATGCCCAGTATTTGCCAACCAACTGCCCAAGTGGCTAGCAGGCTGATCAGTAGCAAAGAGGATAACATAAAGTAATGTAGGTAAAGAATACACAGTTCAGGGACAACCTACTTGTCATTTACTATGCAAATGCAAAAGACATTCTGGTCACTTGAAGATTAGGCACTCCCAATATATTTCACCTCACGAATAACCACCCTAATGCTAACCTAATCGAGCATTAGGGTGGTTAATATTATAGGAAAATAAGAAGGGGTGCCTAATCTTCAGGTGATCCATTATTGATTCACAATTCTGAAAACAAACCCCAAACACGACAAACCAGTAAGTAAAGCACTACCAATAGGCCCATAGTAGTAGCTCATTTAACAAATTAACCAAAACTTTTATTGAAATGATGTGTCACAACTCCTAATAGTGTTACCTGATCAGGATATAAGTTAATCAATAATTTTATATACACAATTTGAGGACGAACCATTGTAATATAGTTGAAGAGGGGCGGTTGAAATAGTTTATTGATAAAACTATCAATGTGTCTTTAAACTTTATTCTGCATTGTTATAGGAAAAAATATTTGATACACAAGTGACTTTACGATAAATGCACCTAGACACGACCCTGTCAGTCTCCAGCTAAAAACAGTCAGAAATTAATAGCAGAAAAATATTCAAATCACTTGCATTCCACGGTCACTAATACCCCGTAGGCAGGCCACTGGCAGACACTTCTGTACTTACAAGCTCAGTATTACCTTCAAACATACTAACATGATTTCTTACATCATAATTGGTACCTTTGAAGTCAACTGACACTCTTAACAAGCATAAACGGAAATATAAAAGCCTCATACCTGGCTGGTGAGTGAAAGAGAGGAGAGCAAGAGTTGTGTCAGGTGGACCGTGGAGGTGACTGTAGTGGTGAGCCTGGGAGAGTGAGGCACCGCTGAGTCACCCTCCCTCAGTAGAAACAAGTATCAACAGTAATCTGATAACAGTTTGATGGGGGTCACTGGGGTGTCGACCACTTGTTTACTTTGTGTAAAAATATAAATAGGTTATTCGTAAATAAGACTTAAGACTACGAGTGCTAAACGCAATGAGTTGATACATTGATGCAGTACATCGTTATCCTACATATTATTGATAAGCTCATAAAAAGTCTTTACACAATATGTCAGGCACAGCATGTCAGGTAAACCCCCTCGTTTACACAGTACAGTACTAATGTACTGTAGTAAGCACGACTGAGATGAACTGTACTTAAACCTAAATCTAACGTCTAATAGGCATTCCAGCGAGTAGCTTCTAATGCATAGAAGTTTTACGCATTTCTAAATGAGTTTGAAGGACCCAGTGCCCACTTTCCTTAGACAGTGTGTGGACCTTGTGGTGTGGGTCAGTGTGTGGTGTGGGTCAGTGTGTAGTGTGGGTGAGTGTGTGGTGTGGGTGAGTGTGTAGTGTGGGTGAGTGTGTAGTGTGGGTGAGTGTGTGGTGTGGATGAGTGTGTGGTGTGGGTCAGTGTGTAGTGTGGGTCAGTGTGTGGTGTGTGGGTCAGTGTGTGGTGTGGGTGAGTGTGTGGTGTGGGTGAGTGTGTGGTGTGGGTCAGTGTATAGTGTGGGTCAATGTGTGTGGGTCAGTGTGTGGTGTGGGTGTGTGTGTGGTGTGGTGTGTGGTGTGGGTGAGTGTGTGGTGTGGGTCAGTGTGTGATGTGGGTGAGTGTGTAGTGTGGGTTGTGTGTAGTGTGGGTGAGTGTGTGGTGTGGGTCAGTGTGTGGTGTGGGTCAGTGTGTGGTGTGGGTGAGTGTGTGGTGTGGGTCAGTGTGTAGTGTGGGTCAGTGTGTGGTGTGGGTGAGTGTGTGTGTGGGTGGGTGTGGGTCAGTGTGTAGTGTGGGTCAGTGTGTAGTGTGGGTCAGTGTGTAGTGTGGATCAATGTGTAGTGTAGGCGTGTGTGTAGTGTGAATGAGTCTGTGGTTTGGGGAAAACTATGGGCAAGTTTCTCTATGACATTTGCCTCTGTCTACCCAGCAGTTCGTATGGTCTCGAGTTGGTCAAGTTGCCAGAAGTTGGTCACAATGATCTAAAAAATTCAGAGAGATGGTCAAGAAAGGTCACACACACACACACACACACACTGAACGGTTATGGTGACGCCAGACTAAGATACAGAAAAAAAATAAAGAAATATGAACGTGAATTAGTGAACTATAAAAAGCTGTTTCAGAAATTAAATTGACACACACACCATTCGGTTTCAAACCTGTGATAGAGCAGCAGCAATGTCTGGAAAGTACAATGGTGCTCAAAAGAAATCATCTGATATGCTTGAGAGACCAATCACTTCTAGTCTCTGTCTACCTGCTGGCTCTAAATTAGGGAATGAGCATGGTTACAACTTACAATGCAAGTGAACTACAGTAATTACACATATGAATGATGTACTGGAATCTAGCTATGTATTTTTTAGCAGAAGCACAAGTCGTCATGCAGCTCTTAAGGAAAACTTGGCACAAATTGAAGGTGCAATGTTACTTCACTCTCTCTCTTTTTACAGGTTCTTTAACGGGCAATGTTCGGTGGATTTGGGATCCTGTGTACCGCCGGTAAGGCCATGGGCTCGTAACACACATCTTGCCCGCAGTGCCCACAGTTTCTTTGTGGATGTCGGTCACATTAGAATAACCCGTTATAGTACATCCTTCTTTCCTCACAGCCAAATTGTAGAATGCTCTGCCCTCTTCTGTGTTTCCACACTCATACAATCTGTCTCACTTTAAAAAGCTGGTTTTCCGGCATTTTCGTGGTGTAGATTAATATAATCTTTTTCTTTTCTATTTTTAATCTCTTTTTACTCTTATTTTTTCGCCCCCTAGGCCCCGTTGTGGATCGATGACCTGTGCCCGGGTGGGCTATTCCCCGTAAAAAAAAAAATAAATAAATAAATAAATAAAAAGTAATAAATTCCAATCTGTCAAAGACAAGATGGAGTGCCAGGCCAGAGTCAGTGAATGCCTTTAGGAAATCTTATGAAGAGATTTGTGAAGTTTTGGATGAAATCAGAAATGCCAAGAAGAAATATGATTCTGATGAAGCAAGGAGAAAAGCTAATGGTCTCCTCTACAAAATGAAGACGATTTTATTGTTGCTTTGATGTTCATGAAAAATATTATGTACAAAACTAAGCATATGATAAATGTGTTGCAAACTGAGGATTTAGATGTTTCTGGAGCTCTTATCTCTATGAAAAGTACACTTAAAATACTCAAGTCAATACGTAGTAATGACGAGGCTCAGAAACATTTGCTGGGGACTGCACTCAACTTTGCCCAAAATATTGATGTTGATGGAGAAGAAGAGTCCAAGAGAGTTCACCGTCAAAGGAAACAGCTCCAAAAATTTTGATAATCCAAACTCTAGTGGTCAGTATAATTTTTATTCCTATTATTGTAAGAAAATGAATGTGTTGACTTCAAAATGTAAAAATCTGAAATCTTCATTCAAATATTTTGAGGATGTTCTTGATCCTAATGTTGCAGACTATGACTCAGCAAGCTTTAGTGAAGCCATGAAAAATCTGTCAGAAACCTATCCATCTGAAATACCTGACACTAATAAGCTTTTGAAAACAACCCTGCGAAACAGAACCTCAGAAAAACTGTTGCACAATCTTATGCTCATAGCTTATGAAAATAACATAGCTAATCAGTTAGATCTTCAAAAGGTTGCATATAATTGGAAGCTTAAGAAAACTAGAATTAATATTTAAGTTTAATTTCTATGAATATGTTAATGCTGCTGATTTTATCCAAGCAGTAAATAAAATATTTTTTTATTTATTTTCATTATTTCTTTCTATTTGAATAAAGATTTTATTTTATCCATCAAATTTCTATGCTAATGTTTAATAATTAAACACTCAAAAATAAAATGTAGTTCACTTGGTATTTTTTTTAATCCTCATTAGTTTGTCAAATTTGATGGGCTGAGTGGCGAGTTGGTAAAAAAAAAAATACCCTCCCCAATCACAACCACCTCGGGCCATCCCTGTTCATCACCAATATGTGTACAGTGCAGTATATATATACTCGTATATGCCAAGTATGCTGCCGACATACACAGCGCGGGCAGGGGACAATGACCGCCTTACGTGACAGAGTACTTGTAAGTAATTATATTTCCCTGGACCAACACACAATTGCAGGGCCTCAATTGTTTCTCTTACTATTGACAACACAACACACATTGTTTCTCACTTTTGATCTTTTTTAATTTTTGTATTTCTTTATGGTTCTTTATTATTATTATTATTATTATTATTATTATTATTATTATTATTATTATTATTATTATTATTATTATTATTATTATTATTATTATTATTATTATTATTATATTTTCGCCCCCCCTCCCCCCCGGCCCTGGATGGGCTAATCCCAGTAAAAAAAAATGTGAGGGGGTGACCCTGTGACGTCACTTTTCCTCTTTTCACGCCCTTCCCCATCACCCTATTAGTCACCCTCTGCCTTCCTTTTATCACTGGTGAGATCCCACCTTGAATAATAATAATAAAAATAATAATTATAATAATAATAATAATAATAATAATAATAATAATAATAATAATAATCCAACTATTACTACTACTACTACTACTAATAATAATCATTCTCAGTTTCGTTCGTTATCTCTTCTCCAAACTAGAGCTCACTGTAGTCTCTGCCATAGAATCTTCAATTTAGGGGATACTTTAGAATACGAATCTTTGAGAATCCCAAGAAAGAATCTTTGAGAAGTTGACGCACGAGAATTTAAGAAATAGCGCAATCATCTTCGGGAATTTTAACGTGAAAATAATTGGCAATTTTAACGCAAGATTCTTTGAATATTAAGACCCCCGCGATGAATAATAATCTTAGATTTAATTCATTGTTTAAAAACCCTGCCAGTACTGTCATGGCTATATTATAAAGAGTAAAAAACAAAAGCTTTTTTTTTATAGATAAATCTTGTTAATTAGTGGGCGTGTTAATCTTCCTGAATGAGGGAGGGAGGGAGTGGGGGTGGTAACCTGGGATCATTCCAAGGTCTAGTCACAAAAGCTCGTAGGAAGGAATATTCTACGTAACTGAAAATGTAAGAATGCACTTCACTTGCTATCTTAAATTAAACACAAAAATAACATTAAAAGAAAACTGAGATTCTACCTCAACTACACACGTACACTTAGCACTAGTGTTAGAGGATACAGTTATAATGGTTGAGAATAGTCTGGAAGGAATTCGCTGCCTGCGTTGTCATTATGCTAAGCGGGCGTATCTAGGTAAGGTAAGGTTTTAGGATAATTTTGTTGTTATTTCTGGGTGTTATTTTAGTGGTTTAGCTCAAATCAGCCAAGAAAGTGCATGCATTATAATATCTTCAGTTGCGATGACTATTCATCGTAAGAATTTTCAGAATCTCGATCCTGCAGGACTACGATCAAGCCATTATACACATGCAAGCTAAATATACGCCGTTCTTAAACAGTTACACTTCCCTGATACAGTATTACGTTATGAATACTTGTCAAGGAAACAAACAAGCCTTTTATCTACCGTCTCTGCTGATGGTTACTGACGTTAATTATTATATTATTTATTTTAGAGTTGATATGAATATTAATTTTCTGGCTGTTTATCTTGATAATGTTACCAGCATGTAATTAATTTCCTGACGCGTTATCACAGCTAAGGTGAATATATTAAAGGCAGGTTAAGCTAGTGTCAACAATGTCGGACGAGCGTCGTCTGGCAGCGTCCCGTTGCCAAGGAGACGCGTCATGAAGTAAACATAAACGTCGCTACCAGGCGTACGATGATTCCTCTATAAATACCTGTTTTTCTCTACCAATACAGATACTTTATATAAATTAAAGCTTATAAATCGTATTTAAAGTAAGTAATGAACCCTTCTCTTTTTTTAAATTGTGGAAAATGCTCTCTACAGGTATGAGTGGGGCAGACGTCAGGCTCCTGGAGGTAAGGTGACTCAGGTGGCGGTGTTAGTGTGTGTTACGTGATGGTTGGTGGTTGCTGTTTACACACCATCCACCTCCTTCATTACCTCCCTCCCCAACATGACCTGAGACCAATACGACACAGGTCAGGATAACGTTACGCTGCCTAGTGCCATCCCTCCTAGGGTAACATAAGGGTCCTCATCTGACGACACCACAGGTACTTGTCACTTTCTATATATTATTATGGTAACACACATTAAGGAGTCATAACAGGGGTTCAAAGCTGACACAATGCTGCTTTTGGAATATGTGTAAAGAAGACGTCTATATTATGTCTATGAACCTATAAATTACTGCTATGACAATACTATGAAAAAAAAGTAAAGGCAAAGAAAAAATAAATCACGTGTTTTGGGTAGTTAGTAATTTCCCTAACACACCTGATGTTTGTTTAAGATTCATAGAGACACCATAAACGCTTTCTTAAGATATATAGACACAGTATCGTGGCCACTTTAAGACGACCGGTTAGCGAAGGTCCTAATGTTGATGTTAGTTACCACCATCACTAGAGAAGTGTCCGTGGCTGGTGTTCTTATAGAGAAAGACAGAGAGTGAGGTAGGAAGGAACACTACTACCTCTACCACATTCCCACCAATAACAGATGAGTGTTCTTTTGAAACACATGTCGTGGTGATGGTAATGATGTTAGTGGCGATGATAGTGATTGTGGTGGATGTGATAGTGATGGTGTCAGTGATGATAATGGTGTTAGAAGACTATGGCCGTGGTAAAGTAAGGCTATACAGAGCACCGCAACAGTGTAGGAAAGGAAGGCTTAATAACACAACGAGACTTAAAATGAAAACTCAAAATATAACAACAATTGATAAAAACATAATCTTGTGTTCTAGGAAGTAATGAGATCCACATAATTTGTCATTGCCTGTGTTAAACCGTGATGACAAACCCTCCCTTATGAGCGAAAAACTTCATCAGTCAGGTCAGGAAAGACAGGCTCAGCCGCCCCCCCCCCACCCGAAAACAAAAAACAAAAAACAGTGAAATATCGAAGCCACACTCTACTTGGCATTCAAGTTTGCTTTAGTAAGTACTCATGGAATATTTGCTTAGTAATTGTACCTGGTGTAAGCTTAGGAATAATCCTCTGGTAATTATTTTCACTTTCACCAGATGTAAACCTCACCATTATGTCTTGTAAGAATACACAACTTCTGGTCGACATGAACGCAAAATGTACATTGTTAAAAAGTACCACGAACATGACTAATAAATCACTTCTTTTGTTTGAAATCAGATGATGCGAACTATCCAAACCTAACCTAACCACACCTACCCTGGCATTGTTAAATTAGGGTGATTTCGATTTATAATTTTGATTTGATTATTGTTACCCTATAAATAAATGGTTTAGCGGTCCTGTTCTGAATAGTTTCCCAACATAGTACCCTTAGCGTGTCAGCCGTGCATGTTACGGTCTGACCCAAAGCTGCCTCGACTGTTACGTAAATCCTGTGCATGACCACTTCTGACCAGTAAAACGGCCCCAACCATCGCATGAGAGTGGGCTGTGCACGTCTGATTTTGATCTACAGTTAGGTCGATTACAGTATGAATCTTTTCCAGAGTGCATAGACATTTCTTAACCCGTAAAAAGAGTTCGGAATTAAAGTTGCTTCCACCACTGCATGAGGCCGGTGCACTCTAAAACCACTGCATGAGTTCTGTGTATTCCAAGGGCATTACATGAGGCCTGTGCACTCCTAGATCCATTACATGAGGCCTGCCACTCCTAGACCACTGCATGAGTCCCGTGCACGCCTTGACCACTATATGAGGCCTGTGCACTCCCAGACCACTATATGAGGCCTGTGCACTCCCAGACCTGTGTGTGTGACAGAGTGACGGAGGACCACAGGACTGTTCATTGACTCGTAAAAATGGGCGGGTATTGTAATCGGTGTGTGTGTGTGGGTGTGTGTGTGTGTGTGTGTGTGTGTGTGTGTGGGTGTGAATAAAAAAAAACGAAGATCTGTACAGCGTGAAACTAAGATAAACATGATAAGTGAACAAAGATGGTTGGGCACGATAAGTATAAGAGGGTTGATGATTAAGACAGGTGTTCGGCGTGGCAGACAGGTGTTAAACAGGACAGATGTTGTGCGAAACAGACAGACGTTGAACAAGATAATAGATGAACGAGACAAATGTGAAACAGGACAGATGTTGAGCGAAACAGACAGGTATTGCACAGGACAGATGTTCAGATGACTAGATAAACACGAGAAAAACTTTCGTGTGGTCCAGAAAATTACAAGTCGCTTATAACACGAAACAAGGACAGGTGTGGCGTGCTGGCTGTCGACGCGGTGATGTAAACAGATACTATTACGGTACATTGACACATGAATTACCCTTAGGACATTAGAATTAAGTAATAATAAAAAAAAAATGATAACTCCAATAATAGAATGATAATCTAAAAATACTCGGAGAATAGTAAGAGGAATGGATCATGTGAAGATTAACCACCCCAGCTTGTTTTACCTATATGCTGACCATCTTAATGCTAAGTGACCAAACTTGACCTAACCTAATCTGCTGTAACCTAACCTAATGTACCGTAACCTAATCTTATGTAAACCTAACTTAACCTAACCTGCTGTAACCTAACCTAACCAAGCGTACCGTTACCTAATGTAAACTTAACTTAGCCTGACATACTGTAATCTAACATAGCCTAATGTAATGTAATATAACCTAACCCACCCAAGTAGCGTTACGATGCCTGTTTAATAATATAGTGAAATAAGCTGGGGTGTCTAATCGTCACGTGATCCGAACAAAACTGAAATAACACGCTGATAATAGAAATGGTGGGATGGATTTAACGTACGATTATTACTAAATCCGGAGTTGCAAAGGGATGGATTCAATTTACGATCCTTTGGCAATCTTAGTCTTTGATGTTGTGGATTCAATATATATTTCTTTAAAAATACTTAACTATGGAGGATGGGATTCAACTCATTAATCATTGAAAATTCTGACCCTGTTGGATTCCACGACCAAAAAAAGCGGAGACAACCTTCACCAACCCCCACCATTGACGCCACAACATTGATTGTGTCGAAAATTGCTTGATGGCGCCTCACAACTCATACACATCGTCTTGTTACTAGAGTGAACTGGATTTTATTGCAATTTACTCTATTCTACACCCAACTATTAGATGTGTCAACCTTACATTTACTTCTAACTGATGCTATGCGCCTAAAAAAAAACTGAAAATATTGCAACAACTCGGTATTATTTTTCAATTAATTCTGGTCTGGTGTGAAGTGAATTTGGCGGATGATGTGGCAGAGTTCCCCAACATTACCACATAGATAGAAACGGGCACGGAAGAGATAGATAGATACATAGATGGATAGATAGATAGATAGATAGATAGATAGAGAGAGAGAGAGAGAGAGAGAGAGAGAGAGAGAGGTTCGTGACTATTAGACCACGCAAGGCATAATATTATAGTGTTGACGAGCATTGCTGACCTTGTACTCTGCTGCGTCTCCCCACCCCCTCCCTCCTTCCCTGTTGTGTCTGTCTGCTTATCTGTCTGTCTACCCTCCGTCTGTATTATGTGTGTCTGTCTGTTTTATGTGTCTGTCTGCCTGTCTACATGCATGACCTCTCTCTTGTGTCTGTCTTTCTAACCTTTTTCCTTACCACTGTCTATACGTCGGTCTGCTTCTATCTTCTGTCTATTTCCCGTGTGTGCGTCTGTCTGTCTACCCCACTGTCTATTTTCTGTGTGTACTGTGCCACCTCTTCCCGTTCTGTCTGTGTGTCTGTCTGTCTGTTTGTCGAACTTAAATAAGAAAAATATCCTCAAAATTAAAGTGATTATGTAATTATCTTCAGAGGGCTGAATCGTTGTGAGAGGGAATAGCCCCTTGAGTGCGATGACTTTACCCCTTGAGTACGATGACTTAACCTCTTGAGTACGATGACTTAACCCCTTGAGTACGATGACTTAACCTCTTGAGTACGATGACTTAACCTCTTGAGTACGATGACTTAACCTCTTGAGTACGATGACTTAACCTCTTGAGTACGATGACTTAACCCCTTGAGTGCGATGACTTAACCCCTTGAGTGCGATGACTTAACCCCTTGAGTGCGATGACTTAACCCCTTGCGTACGATGACTTAACCTCTTGTGTGCGATGACTTAACCCCTTGAGTACGATGACTTAACCTCTTGAGTGCGATGACTTAACCCCTTGAGTACGATGACTTAACCCCTTGAGTACGATGACTTAACCTCTTGAGTATGATGACTTAACTAACCTCTTGAGTATGATGACTAAACCGCTTGAGTACGGTGACTTAACCTCTTGAGTACGATGATTTAACCCACTTAAACACCATGACTTAACCCCTTTGAGTACGATGACTGAACCCTTTGATTACAATGACTTAACCCCTTTGAATATGATGTCGTAACCCTTTGAGTACGATAACACGATTCATTCAGGACTCTTAAAAAAAAAATGCCCTGTACTATGATAACTTGACGCCTTAAGTTATCGTGTTCAAGATATCACTCCAAGGTGTTACAAACTATCCCGATTATATACCATTTCTTATAACATACAAAATCCCGGTATATAATATTTTAAAAAACATCTAATAATTAAACCAAGGTATTTAAAGTTCAGTATATCACCACCATCACCACCACCATCATCACTACCATCATCACCACCATCACCATCATCACTACCATCAGTACCACCATCATCATCACCACCATCATCACCAGCACCACCATCATCACCCAGCATGAACGAGCTGAATCAATTCGTGTGAACACCTCCTAGCCTTGCCAAGTATCGTGTTCTCCGTGAGCGATTTGCAGGTGTCGTGTCAACAAGGTTCGAGACATGGTGTGTAATACGGGTCAGAGGTCAGGAATGTGTTGCTGAGGAATGTAATGGTGTGGGTTACTGCTATAAATTAGTTTAATAATGTAGTTTTATAATCAGCTTATTTTCTGGGGATGGGGAGAGGGGGAGCTTTTTTTTATTGCATATTTCAGGTGAACATTTTGTGGTGGTGGGTACTGGGTGCATGCTTAGTCACTGCACGGTATATACTCTGTCTATTTACTGTGCCTGTCTGTCTGTTTGTCTGTCTATGTCTACTATCTCTCTCTGTCTGTCTGTCTGTCTGTCTTTATATACGCTACTCAATGCGCGACACAGTAACACCAGCAGCCTCTTCTCCCCTTACAACGGGTTTGTCACTCATGCAGGTGTATCACAGGTGTGTCATTATTCACAGGTATATCACAGGTGTGTCATTACTCACAGGTGTATCTCTCTCAGGTGTGTGGAGATGGATGACCGCACTGTTGACAAGATCTTCTCCGGTAGTCTGGAGACACTGCCACCTGTCAGCTCCAAGGTGTGCAGAATCTTCACCTCCTCCACGTTTACAGGTGCGTCCCTTCCTCCTCCTCCTCCTCCTCCTCCTCCTTCAGATCTTCCTCTCATATCTTACCTCCTCCTTCAGATCTTCCTCTCATATCTTACCTCCTTCTCCACCTCCCATACTCCACCTCACTGTAAAACCTTGATTATTTCCTCTCTGCTTTCCCCATCTTACTGTAGCTGGGAAGTGAAAACGTAACGTCTAAAGAGTTCCTTGTATACCTTAACTAAATATATATACTTATTGATCTTATTCTCTTTATAAAGAAAAAGAGATATAAGAAGGAATAATTATGTTTTTTTATATTATTTTAGGTGGGTTTTTATATATTTGTTATTTTCAGACATGTTGATGGAGAGGAACACGCTGATGGCAGAGGTGTACCCCAGGCTGAAGGAGTTCTGTAGGGAGAAACACGGCTTAGAGTTCCAGGTGAGGGTGGGGGGGGCAGAAGGAGGGAGGGATGGTGGGAAATGGGGGGAGGAAGGAGATAGGAAGGAAGGAAGGAAGGGTAGAAAAGAGGGAGGAATGTTAGGGAAAGGGAAAGATGCAGGGAAGAAAGAAAGAAGTAGAATAGGAAGGGAGACAGAAGTGGTTAAAAAAGATAGCGAGTATGCAATAAAAAAGGTGTTGGGAAGATAAATGAATAGAGAGAGAGAGAGAGAGAGAGAGAGAGAGAGAGAGAGAGATTAACACTTCATCTGGTATCTCTGCGTCGCCCTGCGTGGTGGTGGTGGTGGCGGTGCAGGTGGTGGACATGAGGTGGGGCGTGAGGGACGAGGCTACTGACGACCACATGACCACTGAGCTCTGTATGAGAGAGATCATCAACTGCCAGAAGCTCTCCATGGGACCTAACTTTGTCGTGAGTAGAAAAGTCTCTATCTGTCGTTTTTTCTTCTTTCTTTCTTTCACTGTTTTGATATTGAATCAACTAATCCTTGAAACTCTTAATTCTTGAAGCACCTAACTCTTGAAGAACCTAACTCTTGAAGAACCTAACTCTTGAAGAAGCTATCGTTTGAATCACCTGTCTCTGGAAGGAACCCAATTTAACGCTGAGTCAATTAATTGTAATCTTAAATCTTCAATTTTTTTATGAAACTATTTAACGCTAAAAATATCTTGAAATCTGGACCTAGGACGAGGAGTTATTGTAATCATCACCACTTTGAGGCAGACGCTCATTTGACCACACTCCGGCCACCGCTTCAGTCTTGTGTTTTTACATTAGTTTTTAAGTTTATTAAATATTATCGTTTCTATGGACATGCTGAGGTCTGACAAACTTCATTAATTATATCTTTTTGCCTTTTGTAAATAATATGTAGCTGAAAGTATAGTTTCATTTTATTATATTACAAGTGATCGCGGGCCTTTCGTGCCCGGTGAAAGTTTGAACGCTCGTGCTGAACGCTCGTGCTTGGCTAGCGTGCAACCGCCGTCCGGCTGACAGCGTAAAGCGAATGAGGGAGCGCCATGTCCGTAGACTTGCATCGTTTTCTAGCATAAATAAAATGGTTAATTAATGCCTCCCTCAAGAAACCATCGACATTGGGCCAGGTTTGTTCCACTCTACGAATTTTTTGCGATTTTTCCACCAAGTTTGATGAAAAACGATTGTGCCGTTTCGGCTGGCCAGAACAGACACACAGACAGACAGACACACAGCTATTTCTATAGTATATTAGATATCATATTATATATTATATTATATTACTTTACATTATATTATAGTATATTATATTATATTTTATTTACTTATGATGGAAATTCTGAACTCCCTGTCATAATATACAGGTCACACAATTGTCAAAGGAGGCAGCATGCAAAAAAATAAAAATAAAATAAATCGCCGCTAGAATGATCGTGGTCGTAATAAAAACAAAACGAAAAAGGCTTAAGCTCCCTATTATCGAATTTTCAGCTGTGTTTACAACTAGGCGTCACGATATCGACTCTGGGTCCGGGTTACATTGGTTCTGAGCTAATTTCTCTTACCTCGGGATAAGAAAATGGATGTAGTTACGGTAAAAACAAATCAGTGTCATAGATTATAATTCAATGGGCTAGTGAAATACGTTCTGACATCTCCGGTTGATAAAATAAGCTTACTAATATTTGAGTATCTGGACTCAAAATCGTTAAATGGAGATGGACGGAAAATAAAATAGAATAGATATCTTACCCTTTTATCTGCCCCCATTTACATCTTACCAAATCAAGTAACAATACTTATGGGAAGAAGAACAATGGTTACGTCACCTTCTGCATTGAATTTCCAGAAACCGAATCGAATTCTATTTTAAGTCTGATGCATAAACACCATAGCACCTTACTGAACTTCTCGCTGCTTATTACTCCTATATTTTAGCAGTTAATTGAAAGACATGGAGAGAATAAGAATACCTTTAGCGTCTCACTTCGGCATACAGTATTTTTACTACTGAATAGAGGCTAAGCATCAAGGCATCGAATACTGATCATCGACGCATATGAAGGAGGGAATGCGATCTCCTTTCGTGTTTAATTTTCAATCTGAATCGAGGCTCAGAATGAATCTTCTACTGCTTTTGTGCTTCGGTGGTCTCACGCGAGCGTTTTTTTCCGGCAACTCAATATCGGCAGGAGATTAGGGTTAGTTGTCAGTATATTCGGAAGAGTCGAAGTTCCAACCAATTCGATTCACGGCATCACAAACTACCGTGGTTGAGCGAGTCAAAAGAGAATTGTTTTATATTTATTTAAAGAAAGACATATTTAACTATTACATGTATATTTTTAAACTATATCTTGTATTTTTGTAGGAAAAATAAATAAATCCATTTATTTAAGCAATCGTAACTTTACAACAGTAACTGATTTCACATCGGAAACGTCTTGTGGCTGCTCGACACAACACGCCCCTAAACGCCTACACCTGCAGTATGAACTCTCCCATGGATCAAGGACTCCGAAAATCCTAGCAAAACTAGAGAAGATCTTGTCCACATGGGCTATGAGGCTGAGGAAGCCTAATAGCACACCATAAAACGCTCATACTTGATTGTTTTGAATGACGATGGTGTTGAAATGAGCAACAACATGGCTTCGGCTCGTGTGATAGCAATTCTTTCAATTATTGTATGCCGAAATGAAAATGCTGCAAATGAGTTGCCAGATAAAAGTTGCCGAAAGTAACGCTCGCGTGATACCGCCTTAAAATTCGTATTGGCGTCCAGACAAACTTAAAAAGTGAATAGCGTACTGTGATCGGCCTTTGAAAATGAAACCTGCCAAATGAAAATGGATATACTGTAACTCATTTCATGTGCAAGTTAATATAAACTACTGGCGTGCACATGATAATCTTGCGTCACTTGGTTTCATTCATAAGAATATATAAATCACAGTGAGCACTTTGGAGACCCAGAAGAGTTTTCTATTCACACGCAGAACATTGAAAGGTTGTGGCGTGATATTAAGACATAGGAACTTCGTGCTGATGAAAATAAATGACTGCACCACTCTTGAAGCTAGTGCAAGTCTTTACCCTCAAGAAACGAAGGTAGAGGAGACCGTCAGTACCAAAGAACATTATGGAATTAAACCAAATTTCCAGGAGATGTTTGGTTGATACTGAGTAATAAAATCGAGGTGAAACATTGTTGTATTTTTTTTCTGCCATTTTTTTCACATCGTCACCGCCATCATCTTTATAATCATAATCAACCTTATTATCACCATCTTCACCATCAACACCACCGCCATCCTCACCCATCATTATCACCACCACCACCCCACCACCAACATCATCACCCACCACCACCACCACCACCACCACCACCACCACCACCATACTACCACCACCACCACCACCACCACCATCACTACCACCACCACCACCACCATCATCACCACCATCACTACACCACCACCATCATCACCACCACCACCACCACCACCACCATACTACCACCATCACCACCACCACCACCACCACCACCACTACCACCATCACCACCACCACCACCACCATCACCACCACCACCACCACCACCACCACCACCACCACACCACCACCACCATACTACCACCACCACCACCACCACCACCACCACACCACCATCACCATCACCACCACCACCACCACTACCACTTCTAACCACACCTCTTCTCCCTCCCTACCACCCCCTCCCCTCCACAGTTCTTCGGGGGTCAGAAATACGGTTACCGTCCCATCCCTACCGTGATCTTAGGCTCCGAACTGCTCATTTTACGGGAAGCGCTGATCAATATGGGCGTTGACACCATCCTCATTGACACCTGGTACAAGAAGGATTCCAACGCCGTGCCCTTCGTCTACATCCTACAGCCTATATCATCCATCCTGGTCAACTTTAACAATAAGGTAGGTAGTTAGGTAGGTAGTTAGGTAGGTAGATAGTGGTTGTGGTAATTCGGGTGGTGGTGGTTGGTTGAGGGGAAGGATTGTTGTTATTGGTGGTGGTTGTTCTTCCTCTTTTTCTCTCCTTTCATACATTAACCTTCTTCCTACCTTTCCCCCTCTACTTCTAGCCTCCCTCCTCCCCTCTCCCTTTCAAATTTTCCTCTTCCCTCTTCCTTCCCTCCTCCTCCTCCTCCTCCTCTCTTCCTTCCTTTCTTCTCCTCCCTTTTCTTTCCATTCTCCTCCTCCTCATCCCTCTTCTTTCGTACCCCACTTCCTCTCTCTTTTCCCCCCCTCCCTTTCCTTCCTTCCCCTTACCTTCTTTCCCCCTTACCTTCCTTCCCCTTACCTTCCTTCCCCTTACCTTCCTTCCCCTTACCTTCCTTCCCCCTTACCTTCCTCCACCTCCCCTTCCTTCTGTCCATTTACCCTCTCTTCCTCCTGTGTCACGGGTCCTCTGCCGCTCCCCCCCCTCTCCTCACCTCTCCCTCCCTCCCTTCCACTTACCTCACCTCTCAGAAAAGGGGAGAAGGAGAAGGGAGGGGGAACCGAGCTAGGGGAAGAGGAGGAGGGAGAGAGAAAGGGGCAGCCAGGAAGGAGGAAGGGAGGTAGGGGGAGAAGAGGGTGAGAAACAGGAAGAAAGAGGGTGAAGAGGAAGGAAGAAAGGAACATAAGAGAAGGAGGGAGTTAAGGAAAGCAGGAAAAATAGAAAAATAGATAAAAGAGAGAGAGAGAGAGAGAGAGAGAGAGAGAGAGAGAGAGATTCTTCAAACACTGGACACTCCTATCGCCTGAATCATTCATTAGTCCCCCCTCTCGACAGTAAACAAACGCCTATGTGTGTGTGTGTTTGGGCGTGGCATTGTATACGTGTAAGTTTGCGTGTATCTGTGCTCGTGTGTGTGTGTGTGTATATGTGACTGTTTTGTCTGTATATACGAGTATAACTATATTGGAGTCTGCCTATGTGCGTATATCTATGTATGTACTTACTTATGTGTGTGTGTGTGTGTGTGTACATTATATAAAAATGTTTACCAAATTACACACACACACACACACACACACACACACATACACACACACACACATACACACATACACATACACACATAAATACACACACATAACGTAACACGACCTGAACATGTTATAATTTTGCGGGCAGTGGCGACTAATCCAGAAATCAATAGTCCTTTTACGGCTGATTTCCTTTGTGTGTGTGTGTGTGTGTGTGTGTGTGCGTGCGCGTATGTGTGTGTGTGTGTGTGTGTGTGTGTGGTAATTTCTTAAAAAAATAACAATAATATTACTGCTGGTCTCTTGTAAACAAATATAAGTCATCACTCACGGATTCGTTAGGTCACTCACAGATACGTTAGGTCACCCTTGTACTGTTACGTCACTCCCAAACACACTCCGAGTTACTCACAGATACGTTAGGTCACCCTTGTACTGTTACGTCACTCCCAAACACACTCCGAGTCACTCACAGATACGTTAGGTCACCCTTGTACTGTTACGTCACTCCCAAACACACTCCGAGTCACTCACAGATACGTTAGGTCACCCTTGTACTGTTACGTCACTCCCAAACACACTCGAGTCACTCACAGATACGTTAGGTCACCCTTGTACTGTTACGTCACTCCCAAACACACTCCGAGTCACTCACAGATACGTTAGGTCACCCTTGTACTGTTACGTCACTCCCAAACACACTCCGAGTCACTCACAGATACGTTAGGTCACCCTTGTACTGTTACGTCACTCCCAAACACACTCCGAGTCACTCACAGATACGTTAGGTCACCCTTGTACTGTTACGTCACTCCCAAACACACTCCGAGTTACTCACAGTACATTATTCCACCTGTGAAATTGGTCACTTGATTTATATACCGGTCCGTACATATAATCGACGTTGTCTCCCCATCTATCCAGTTATATTTGAGCATCTATCCACTCCATCCATCTATCCACTTATCTACCATGTACCCATCTATCCACCATGTATCCATCTATCTACCCTCTATCCACCATCTATCCATCTATCCACCCTCTATCCAATCCTCCCTATCCATTTATCCATTTTTCTATCCATTGGACAGAGGGTGCCAAAACTACAGGCCCAGGACCAAGCCACGTGGTGGGACACTCTGGCCAAGATGCAGAAGCTCCTGAGGAAGGCGGCGCAGGCGTGCTACAACACCCACAAGATGGACAAGGAGGCGATGCATAACTACTTCATGTCTGGTACGTGTTCTGGGGCCCGTTAACGCTCTTTTGTTTCCTGTTAACGGGGGAAGGATCATCTGTTTTCTGTTAACGGGTTAGATGTCCTATGGTCTGCTAATGGTGGGGGGTATCTGTTTCCTGTTAACGGGGGAAGGATCATCTGTTTTCTGTTAACGGGTTAGATGTCCTATGGTCTGCTAATGGTGGGGGGTATCTGTTTCCTGTTAACTGGGAGGATCTTCTGTTAACGGGAAGTATCTTTTTTCTTTATTTCCTGTTAACGGGGTGATTTTTTTTGGTAAATTTGTTGAATTTTATCTTTGTTTCCCGTTGACATTTTTTCCTGTTAATGGGAAAAAATCATCTTTTCCCGTTGTTGTGTATCTGGTTTCCTGTTAACGGGAGGATTAACTTCTTAACTCGTTGACGCTCTTTTGTTTGTGGTCTTTGGTTAATATTAACACGAACTTAGAGAAGAAAGAAGGGAAGAGCGAAGAAGAAGAAGGAAGAGGGGAAGAGAGAGGAAGGGAGAGGGAAAAGAAAAGGGAAGAGGTAAGAAGAAGAAGAAGGAAGAAGAAGAAGAAGAGGAAGAAAACATAGATAGGGAAGTACAAGGGAAGCGCGAAGAAGAAGAAGGAAGAGGGGAAGAGAGAAGAAGAAGAAGAAGGAAGAGGGAAGAGCGAAGAGGAGGAAGGGAGAGGGAAGAGAGAAGAGCGAAGAAGAAGAGGAGTTAATAGAAAATGGCTCTATGTGATCGACTGGGTAACTAAACAAAAAGAAGAAAAATTTGATTGAGAATTTTAGAACGATAAATTTATGCATGGCGCCACGTCCACCCCTTCGTTACTCTCCGCCTCTTCCTCACCCTCCTCTACCCTCCCTCACCCTCCTCTACCCTCCCTCACTCACCCATCCTCTACCCTCCCTCACCCTCCTCTACCCCTCCTCACCCTCCTCTACCCTCCCTCACCCTCCTCTACCCTCCCTCACTCACCCTCCTCTACCCTCCCTCAGTCACCCTCCTCTACCCTCCCTGACTCACCCCTCCTCATGATCGCGACTCATTAACATGTTATGATTTTTAATGGTTGTCTGTTCTAAGGTATTAAGGATCACCTGAAGATTCTCACACCCAGCTTATTTCACCCCTAAAGATCAACTAACCTAACCCTAACCTACCCACACCCTAACCCTACCCTACCTAACCTACCCTACCTAACCTACCCTACCCTACCCCTACCTACCCTACCCTACCTACCTAACCCAACCCTAACCTACCCTACCTACGCTAACCTAACCTACCCAACCATACGCTAACCTAACATAACCTACCCCTACCCTACCCCTACTAACCTAACCTACCCTACGCTAACCTACCCTACCTACCATACCTAACCCTAACACCCCTACCCTAACCTACCCAACCATAACCTAACCTAACCTACCCTACCCTACCCTACCCCCATACGCTAACCTAACCTAACCTACCCTACCCTACCTACCCTACCCTACCCTAACCTACCCTAACCTACCCTACCCTAACCTACCCTAACCTACACTAACCTAACCTACCCTACGCTAACCTAACCTACCCAACCATACGCTAACCTAACCTACCCTACCCTAACCTACCCAACCATACGCTAACCTAACCTAACCTACCCTACCCTAGCTAACCTAACCTAACCTAACCTAACCTAACCTAACCTAACCTAACCTGTGCTTGTTACTTCATGATTCTGGTCGTGGAAACCTTGATAAAATAAAAAGAGTATCCCTCACTTCTCCTGCCTCTCGTCCCCTTCGATATTATCCTTCCTCTCTTACCTCTCCTCTTCCTCAACCCTCCTCCTCTTCCTCACCCTTCCTCCTCTTCCTCACCCCCTCTTCTTCTTCACCCCTTCTCCTCCTCTTCTTCACCTCTCCTGTTCTTCCTCACCCCCTCTTCTTCTTCACCCCTTCTCCTCCTCTTCTTCACCTCTCCTGTTCTTCCCACCCCTCTTCTTCTTCCCCTTCCCACGTAACAACTCATAACGTGGAGGAAAGACACCCAATCATCACATGCCTCGGCTCTCCCCCGGGTCCTGCCTCGCCACGCTCCCAGGGATACGCCGAGACTTGTGAGTGTGTGTGTGTGTGTGTGTGTGTGTGTGGTTAATTTATTTATTTCACTGCCCGTATAACTCGTTTATGGTTGACAATAAATACCTGTATTATTATTATCTTACACTCTTGTGGCCTAAACGTCTTACAACCAAAACTTCTAACGAACAACACGTTTTACGGCCTAACAGACTCACGGCCTTAAGTCCCTAACTCAACCTTCAGTGTATGAGGATGGAAGCAGTGACCTTAGGACAGGAAGCGAGAGATCTATCCAATCCACCGCCATAACATTTATAAAAAGGGAAAAAAAATGTAATTTGAATTTCGGGTCTCATAGTGGAGGGAGAGGTACGCCTCCACCAGGCGGATGATGCCCTCGGGTCTCAAAGTAGAGGGAGAGGTACGCCTCTATCAGGCTACTGATGCCCTTGGCCTCCATGGCGGGGTGTGCTGTGTTCAGGCACTCTAGAACGGCACATAAATGGGATACAAAATTGTGGATTTGGTGTAGGTCGGGTTTAACTGAACCGTATCCGAGATTCAACTTAATGTCGAACCCGGTGTTGAGACAAATTTTGGGATACCTAATGATGAGGGTCACCAAGAGCCGGATGTTGTTCGGGTTAAATTCATTAACCCGAACAACAGCGGGGATGGAAGGGGCCAGAGGAAGGGAGTGGGCCAGAGGGGAGGAAAGGGCCACAGGGGGGGAGTGGGTCACAGGGGGGGAGTGGGTCACAGGGGGGGAGTGGGTCACAGGGGGGTAGTGGGTCACAGGGGCCACAGGAGGGGAGTGAGCCACAGGGGAGGAAGAGACCATAGGTGGGGACTGTCTAAGGGCCTCTTCAGGGTGACAAGCGGTAGCCGTCTTGCCCCTCTTTTCGGTTTGGGTGAAACAGAGGAGGAGGACGTTCACCAGTATGCCAATCGTGACCACCACACCAAGCCATACTGGTGTGGTGAGTGGTACAGAACACGAAACTTCCTCCTGCACTATTTTTTGTAGTGCCATTTTATATAAGTAGTGGCAGACTGTACAGACAGGCGTTCCCAGCCCGGGCAACATGGTCCACGTGGACGGCATCAAGGGCGGCGCCGTCACGTTGGCGTTAGAGAAGGGGAGGCTCTGGACGTAGTTCCGGTGGAGTGTGACCATCCCCCTCAGGTATTCCTGCTCTCGCCTCAGCTGGCTGTTCACCAGCAGGAGCAGGCCCCATGTGATAGCGGTTGCGATAATATATTTAGTTTTTATTATCATCCAAACTAAAAAATAAATTCTTAACTAAAATAAATTTTCTATTTAAACTCAGCCATACAGTACCAGCCGCCAGGTTGTGAAATGGAGATGTGGTGAGTGAAACAAGTCACCGGACATTATACTCACGGGGTTCTATTATCATACTAACGGGTTATATCATCATACTCAGTGGGTTATATCAACATACTAAGGGGTTATATCATTATACTCAAGGGGTTATAGCACCATTCTAAGGGGTTATATCATCATACGAAATGGTTTATATCATCATATTCAAGTGATTAAGTCACCATACCTTATATACCTAACGGTCACCCACACTAGAGGTGTGATTCTGTCTGTTCCAGCCAGAGCTCCACGACGGAAGCAGTTAAAGAGCTCAAAGTTTACAAACACACACTACATGGTTGTGCTCACTGATTTCACCATGACGGGACCTATTAGGAGGTTCCGTTTTCTTTGATACGTGAGCACAACTTATATTCCATAGCTGCTGGTAGCAGCAGGGGCATCTCCCTCCTTGTAGTTGCTGGCAAGATCCTGTCAAAAGTCATGTTATCAAGACTTATCAAACACCTAACGGAGAACACGCTTCCTGAATCCCAATGTGGATTCAGGAAGGATCGCAGTACAGTAGACATGATCTTCGCAGCTAGGCAAATTCAAGAGAAGAGTCGAGAGCAAAATATAGACCTTTACACCGTCTTCATTGACCTATCCAAAGCTTTCGACACAGTAAACAGAGATCTTTTGTGGACTATGTTGGAGAGGGTCGGTGTACCACCAAGATTTTTAAACATCCTCCGCCAGATGCATGATGGAATGCAAGCCCGGGTACTTGTGGGTGGTGTGTGGTCAGAACCAGTTAGTGTCGAAATGGGCGTAAAACAGGGCTTTGTGCTGGCACCTGTGTTGTTTAACATCTTTTTTAATATTAGACGTCTGGAAGCCTACACAAAGACCTTAACAACTCAGGTCATAGAACTACAGTATGCAGACGACTGTGCAATAATGACACATAACAGAGAATCTATGCAACGTGCACTGGACATGATCTCGGGTATGTACAGCTCGCTTGGTTTGCAAATTAACACCCCGAAGACTGAGATTTTTGTCCAGTCCATTGTTCCACCAATAGAAGCACCACAATTCTACTCTAATGGAGATCTTATCAAAATAGTAAACCAGTTTAAGTACCTTGGTAGCACTCTCACACCCACCTGCTCACTGGATATGGAAATTCAAACCAGATTCAATTTAGCCTCAGCTGCATTTGGACGTTGGAGAACAAGAGTCTTTCTCAACAATGACCTCAAATATGGAACGAAGACTGCAGTTTATCTCGCGGTCTGTATATCTACATTATTATATGCCTCAGGAACATGGACGCCTTACAGACGCCATATTCTTATGCTGGAAAACTTCCACACTCGATGCCTTAAGCGTACCATTAGAATATCCTGGGAAGATAGAGTGACTCTTGAAGAATTATATCGTCGCTCAAACACGGCCATTGAAACCCTGCTAGCCCAAAGACACTTGGACATGTTAGCTTGGACATGTTATCAGGATGCCAGACCACCGGCTTCCAAGACAAATATTATATGGTAAGCTGTCACATGGAAAGCGCTCGGCGGGAGGACAGAAAAAGAGATATAAGGACCACTCTAAAACTCTACTCAAGTGCTGTAATATCCAACCAAATTCACTGGATCAACTAGCCTCAGACCGTTCCTTATGGCGCTCAACATGCGGAAACATTTGAGACCTCACTGAACCAAAGGAGAGCTACTAAACGAGCCCAACGACATCAGAGGGCTCAAGGCATAATTCCTCTCAATGAACAACATCCCCGTCACCTATGCAACAAGATCTGTGCCTCCAGTGTTGGACTCCATAGTCATCTACGGTGGCATCAGAGGAATAACACATAACTCATCAATCATCTCATCTGGAGCAACGTCGTCGTCCGTGTGACCAGAGTCCGTCCGTGTGACCAGAGTCCGTCCGTGTGACCAGAGTCCGTCCGTGTGTCCGTGTGATCAGAGTCCGTCCACCCTGTAGATTGTCTCAAGTTTATTGGTCAGCATCAGAAGCGTGTAGAGGCCACGCAACACCTCCCATAACACATGATTCAGGTCTCCTCCCTCCCCCGCCTCCCTCCCCCACTAGGCTCATAATAACATCAAAATCATCCCTAAATGTATATATGTACAAAAAATATCAATATGTAATAAAAAAATCTACGGAACCTTATCATATATTTAACTAGTTATGTACTTAAAAAAAGATAACCATACACTTAGTTATATAAACATGCATTAGTCACGGGAGGTGTGTTGGTGCTCTCGCAGTGGACAAGTCACAGGTTTGGTGTTTACATTGAGAATATTTGAAGGTGCTTAAGGTATACGATGAGATAAACATTTCTTAGATGGAGTTTAAGATGATGAGATTTGTGTGAGAAGAGGAAGTGGCAGGAAGGGGAAGGAAGAGGTAGATTAGACCTCTAGGAAGATGGGTAGTGAGGAAGAAGGAGGGGGAGGTGGAAAAGGAGGAGGAGGAGTACATTCAGGGAAGGAGGGGGGAGGTCGAGGAGAGAGAGACCTAGGTGATGTGTAGCACTGCGGCACCACACACACACTGACACACACATACGACTGAACGCCTACAATGGCATTCCTCCTTCCTCTCTTGCACGCCATGTTACCAAGGTTACAGATCACGTGGGCCCCAGTCCTAATAGGCCCCCACCTTAACCTAACCATTAACTGTAGGGGTCCATTTAGAATGAGATAAATCTATAATGGATAAGTTAAATACAACAACTACACCCTATGTTAAACCAGTGTCAAGGAATAATCCGAGAAGACCGGACAACTCTCAAACTGCACTGGCTAATATAGAGGTGGACTCAGGAGGAAGCCGACTATACTGTCCGTGCTTCTTACCCTTGCTAGACAGGTGAGTGACAGGGAAGCACATGTGAGTGACAGGGACGTAAGAGTCATGACTTCATTATCCATTATCCTCATTCAGGTCATGAGGACAGACAGACAGACAGAGTTCAGCGTGCAGTAGGTCATGAAAAAAAAGACAGGTACCCGTCAGTATCACAGGTGTTGCAGGTGACCACAGCAGATCACTTATGTTAATTAGTAAGGTGCGTGTGACGGCGTGGAGAGAGAGAGAGAGAGAGAGAGAGAGAGAGAGAGAGAGAGAGAGATAAGTAAGGTCTCACGTGTAGGGTAATCTTTATAATCCCACAAAGTCTTTTAATGTTGTTCACGCCACCAATAAGAACCAGACCGTCTTTAGTTATATTCACCCAGACCATCGTAGCGAATTCCTTTGTTGTGCATTTTATTATGTTTTTTTTTGTTAACCACTCCTTCCCTCCCTACCTCCCCCTCTCTCCTCCCTTTCCTTCTCTCCCTCCCTCTCTCCTTCCATTCCTTCCATCTCTCTCTCTCTCTCTCTCTCTCTCTCTCTCTCTCTCTCTCTCTCCTCCCACTCACTCTCCCTCCCTCCCTCTCCTGGTTACGTGGAAATCTCTGCCTCATATCAACTACCATTGTTTCCTTGACGTATAACTGACCTCGTCCAGCTGCTGTAAGAGGTCACATTAGGTCAATATTATGACCTCTCATTCCGCCGCATCACCTGGGTCAATGCAGCTGGTAGAAGAAAGTAGAAAAGCAGAGATTGATGATGATGATGATGATGAAGAATAAGAATAGGAAGAAATGATGATGATTGTGAAGAAGAAAAAGATGTAGTAAGAAGAAAGAAGAAAATGATGATTGTGAAGAGATGAAGGAGAAGAATTTAAAGGAACCAACGTGGGTGCAGTGAGCTGGTACCTGTGACGTGAGAGGCAGAATAATAACATTATCTCAGTGGGTTAGTCAGTCGAGTCAGTTATTGTGGTATGTCAGTCACATCAGTCAGCCAAATCAGCCAATTCATCAGTAAGTTAATCAAGTCAGCCAATTCATCAGTCAGTGAGTGAGTCAGTCAATTCGTCAGTTTGTAAGTTAGTCAGCAAGGGAGTCAGCCAATTGATAAGTCAGTCAGTCAATTAGCCATTTCCTCACCCAGTCAGTCAAGTCATCCAATTTATCAGTCAGCCAGCAAATGCATTCATAGAGCTGCCTAACTCAGCATAATACAGTAAAGACTTGGAACTGCCAATCACACCTTACCTAGAACTTAAGCGCTCCTGTGATTGGCTGGCCTCTTTCTCAGGCGCATTGATCATTGTGGTGGTCTTTTGTGATTGGCTGGCTTTTGCCTTCTTCGTATTGGCCGTTGTGGTGGCCTTCTGTGATTGGCTGGCCTCTTCCTGCCTCATATTGGTCGTTGTAGCGGTCTTCTTTGATTGGCTGGCCTCTTCCTCCTCCTCGTATTGGTCATTGTGGTGATCTTCTGTGATTGGCTGGCCTCTTCCTCCCTCCTATTGGCTGTGTAGTGTTCCTTGGTCAAGTTCACTCTCACAAATGGTTTACAGTTCTAATGGGCCCCATCCCTAACCTGACACTGACCTAGCTTAACTTAGTCTAACCTAATCTAATCTAACTTAATTTGCACTCCCTCAAGAGACGTAGAGTGAGGGGCGATATGATAGAAGTGTATAAATGAAAGTCAGGGCTAAACAAAGGTGATATAACAAAGGTACTCAAACTATCCAACCAGGAGTGAACTCGTAACAATGGTTTTAATTAGACAAATTTAGATTTTGGCGCGAGATAGGTAAACATTGGTTTGGAAATAGAGTAGTGGATGAGTGGAACAAGTTACCAAATATCATCATTAACTCGAACACGTTGGGTAGCTTCAAACATAGGTTGGATGGATATATGAGCGATAGGGGTTGGGTGTAAACGGGACTGCCCAGTATGGACCAATAGGCATGCTGCAGTTTCCTCCATTCTTATGTTCTTATGTCAACTTAGTCTAACCTAATCCAATCTTAACTTAACCTAACCTAACCTAACTTAAGACCTCCACTTGATACTGACCTCTAACCTCCACCCGATACTAACCTCTAACCTCTGACCTCCACCCGATACTAACCTCTCCCCGATAATGACCCCCACCCGATACTAACCTCTAACCTCCCCCGATATTAACCTCTCCCCGATAATGACCTCTCCCACGATACTAACTAACCTCCTGGTCCTCCCGTTCTGTAGTGACTGAGCGTGAGGTTATCAACGGTATCCTGAGCGTGAAGAACACCAAGAACCACACCCTGGCGCTGGTCCGCTACATCAACAACATCAACCTCCAGAACCTCCGCCGCGCCGCCAACTTTATCGACATCGTTAACAGACAGATAGACGGAGAGGCCATGAAGCTCCTGTCTGACCTGAGGGATGTGAGACTTCCCGCCAGGATAGAGTCGACTAATTACCACAGGTGAGGCAGGGTAGGGTGCTAATTACCACAGGTGAGGCAGGATTGGGTGCTAATTACTACAGTGGGGCAGGATAAGTCTATTAATTACTACAGGTGAGGCAAGGTAGGGTGCTAATTACCATAGGTGAGGCAGGATTGGGTGCTAATTACTACAGTGAGGCAGAATAAGTCTACTAATTTCCACAGGTGAGGCAGGATAGTGTGCTAATTACTACAGGTGAGGCAGGATATTGTCTACTGTGGAGGATTAATAACATCCTACACGGTCTCTCTGTACAGGTACACCGTGGAGTGGATTGGTCGCGAAGGACTGGCGAAGGAGACCCACGGGGAGTACCTGCAGGAGTTCTGTACCCACTTCTACAAGGGCATGACCAAACTTATCGACCGGGCCATGCGCAAGGAGGATTCTTCAGCTCAGGGTCAGATCATCACCGAGATTCTGCAGCATCTTCACGCCTGCAAGAACTCTGTAACGGTGAGTCCTGTGTGGGCGTGTGGGTGGTGAGGATGACTGGGTGTGGTGGTGAGGATGGATGAGTGTGGTGAACTAGTGATGGTTGTGGTGATGAAGAAGGTAGATAGAGAGGGACTACGTCAAGGAACCGTCACTACCCTGATCTTATACAGAGATAAACTAATAAGAACTCAGTCGTTGCATGTATCAAGATTCATCACATTTTACTGTACAATACTCATCCTGCAGGTGTTCTACGGGCGGGGGGAGGAGGTGAAGAAGGTGGAGGACTACATCAAGGGGCCTTCGGTGAGTCCCCTGCTGCTACACGGTGCTGGAGGCTGCGGCAAGACCTCCCTCTTGGCTAAATGCGCTTCCAACTGCATCGAGTGGCTCTCTCACGCCAAGCCCATCCTCGTCATCCGCTTCGTTGGCACCTCCCCGGAGTCCACGGCCCTCACCCCACTCCTGACCTCGATATGTCACCAGGTCAGTCAGTCAGGATGTAAGAGCCAGGTAACCAAAGGAGTCGTTTATGTGTATTTATGTCCTGGGGTCAAGGTCACGGGGTACTGGATCACTTTAAGCACTCGTGTGAGGTGTAACACACGTGAATTAGCCCCTGTGCGTGTGGCGGGACTCTTGGTCATAACATACCCATTACTGAATGAACGCCACGACTCTACTATAAATATCATGTTAACACGACAGTGACACAGGAGTCTTTTCACAATTGGAATAATCTTTAATGTCTGATAGAAATTTAAACCCTCATCCAGAGTTAACTCAATTGTACCTCCAAGGCAGCTTAAAAAAAAATAAAGAAAAGATTCCCATGGGCGCCATTTGTAAACACGAACGGCTTCATCACAACACGGCGATGCACAGGTCACTCACGATGGTGCGTGTTTACACTGCGTCAGCTGATGTGTTGCCAGATGGATGACGCAATTATGTGATTATCTTACTTATTATCATGAATTATCTTTTTTTATCCTGGCCTCTCGTAAAGCCATCATGTGTAAAATACACCGCTTAATTGCAACTGATTGACTGATTTGAGTTCTTAGTCTGTCTGATTTAATATATCACGAGTAATTTGTTAATATACTGCATAATGTCTTGTATACACCGTTAGTCATTCTGCTGTACATTACCTCAGGTCTCACCAGCAGCTGACCCGTGTTGATTGGTCTAATGAACCCCAGTACCTAATAGACCCCAGCCTAAGCAAGCACAGTACAGTATAACCATTGAGATTGGAGCCTAATCCCAATGGCTCCTAATCCTAAATATTATACTGTATATTTGTATGAGGTTATGTTAGGAATGACGTCCATTTTCACCTGATTTCTGGTCAATTTTATGCCTTAGACAATCTCTCTAATTATCTACCTGAGGTTCATTGGCAGCTAACCTAACCTAAGGTAACCTAACCTACCCCCAACACTAACCAATTCAGTCTAATCAAACCTTATCTAATCTAACCTAACCTAACCTAACCTAACCTATTTTAACCTAATGAAACCAAACTCATCGCTAACGAAATCTAACCTAACTCACTTAACCCGGCCAAAGCAAAGCTAACCTAACCTAACCTAACCTAACCTAACCGTAGGACCTTATTCTCTTATCCTTCACAGATCTCCTACAACTACATGCTACCTTTCGAGGATATCCCAGACGACCTGGTGCCTCTCACTGCCCACCTGAAGGAACTGCTCAACTGTGCCACTACCCAGATGGTAATAAATAAATCAGTTTACACCCCAATACTCCCCAGATGGTGATAAATACACTAGTTTACACCCCAATACTCCCCAGATGGTGATAAATACACCAGTTTGCACCCCAATACTCTCCCCAACACCTCAGGAAGACGCAGCTGAACACCAGACCCATGTACAGTACACAGGAGAGAGATTGTGTTTCATAAGAGCCATTGACGAACACAAAGCATCAATGTTCAGTCACTCAAAACATACTATCTATACACCTGTTGTCTCTTCTTCCCCCTGTTCTTCCTCCTCCTCCTCCTCCTCTTGTTCCTCCTCCTCATATTCCTCTTCGTCCTCCTCTTCGACCTCATTTTCCTCCTCTCGTCCACTTCCTTGACCACCCCTCCTCTCCTCCTTTTCTCTCTACAATATGTCTTCTTTATCTCTGATACAACTCCTCTTCCTACCCCTCCTTTTCTCCTTCCTTCCCCTCCTTCTCTTCCATCCCCTCCCCTTCCTCCTCCTCTTCCCGTCCACTTCCCTAACCACCAACCACCTTGTTTGTTTCCTCCGCCAGCCGCTGTTGATCTTCCTGGACAGTGTGGATCAGGTGACGGGAGCCACTGACGCTAACCGCATGTCCTGGATCCCTACCCGTCTCCCTCCTAACGTGAAGGTGCGTGGCCAACCCTCCACTCTCTCTGGACAAGGTGAGATGGGATAGTTGTATGTCCTTCCCTGAGGTACGGCATTGGAGTGTTCGTGGGTCAAGTGTAAGGAAGGGGGGAATCGTGGGTTAGGTGTAAGTTGAGAGTCGTAGGTTAGTCGTGGGTTGAGTTTGAGTTAAGGGGTCGTGGGTTAGGTGTAAGTTGAGAGTCGTAGGTTAGTCGCGGGTTGAGTTTGAGTTAATGGGTCGTGGGTTAGGTTTAGTTAGAGTAGTCGTGGGTTAGGTGTAAGTAAGGGGTTCTTGGGTTAAGTGTAACTGTGGTGGTCGTGAGTCAGTCGTGGGTTAGGTGTAGCTAGAAAAATCGTGGTTCAGGTTGATACTGTGGTGTTCGTGGGTTCAATCGTGGGTTCAGGTGTAACTGGTGTTCGTGGTCGTGGCCAACAGATCGTGGTGTCGTGCGTGTCAGAGGAGAACGACCCGGAGCTCTCCAAGGACTACACACTCCTGAGGCGGATGATCGACGACGTGGATCAGTTCCTGGAGGTGACGGCGCTGGGGGAAGACCTGGCCATGGATATTATCAAGTGAGTCTGGCCTTGAGTGCTCTGTCTGTCGGTCTGTCTTGTCTGTCTGCTTACCTGTTTGTTTTCTGTCTGTCTGTCTTATTCTCATCCCCTTATTTATAATGTCATCAAGTGAGTTAGTCTCTCTCTCTCTCTCTCTCGTTCCAATTTTTAGATAGATGAATATGTAGATAGATAGATAGATAGATAGATAGATAGATAATAGCAAAATGACAGATAGCTAGCAATAATAATACGTAAATAGCCACATAAGTAATGGTCATTGATCGTGTATGTCTGTGTGTATGTGTGTGACAGGAGGTGGATGAACACGGCCAAGCGGGACCTCAACAACTACCAGTGGCGTGTGGTGAGTAACGCCATCTCCCGCTGCTCTCTGCCGATCTTCGTTAAGTTGGTCTTCGCTGAGATCTGCCGCTGGAAGAGCTACAGTAAGCCTCAGGACACCTACCTCGCCTGTAACGTCATGGATTCCATTATGATGCTCTTTTCTAAGGTTGAGGTTAAGGTGAGTTGGCTTTGGTCCCTTCCCTTCCTTTCCCTTCCCTTCCCTTCCCTTCCCTTCCCTTCCCTTCCCTTCCCTTCCCTTCCCTTCCCTTCCCTTCCCTTCCCTTTCCTCTTCTCCTTCCCTTCCCCGTTTGGTAAGAGATGATTTTTTGTGGTTAATTTCACTGTGATGTTAACTCGATTTTTTTATTAGATTTGGTGCAAAGTTATGGTGATATTTTCTTTTTACTATATAAGTGTGTAAAGTGTGTCATTGTCTGGTGTGGGTGTAGCACGGGCGGCTGTTGGTGTCTCATGCCCTCGCCTACATCACCGCCAGCAAGAATGGTTTGTCCGAGTCAGAGCTGGAGGACCTCATCTCTCTCGACGACAAGGTACGTTAACCTCTCACACCTTGTTACCACCACTACTATTACTTCTACTACTTCTACTACTTCTACTACTTCTACTACTTCTACTACTCTTACTAACACTACTACTACGATTACTACTACTACTACTACTACTTCTACTATATTGTACACGTTCATTCATTCATAATTGACTATCGAATATTTATCCAAACCTAAGAGAGTTCCTATCCACGTAGAGTCGCCTGCACTTATACCTGGTACAGTGGCTGGTGCGTTTTGTAAGATGTGGCAACTCCGTGGAATGATTATTTAGCATTCTTAGTCTTATTGCAATGCTCCTTAGGGCCATTACTGGAGTTTAATACGATGTAAACAGACACATAGTTGCCACATGTCACAAAACGCAACAGCGCCATTGTACCAGGTATAAGTGCAGGCGACAGTACTTAGTTTCATCCCATGTAGATACCAATAGTACCACTGTAGATCCTTTTTGTAGGTACTGGATGACGTGTACCAATACCATATGCCACCGGTACGTCGGATCCCACCTCTCCTCTGGACCAGGATAAGAAATGACCTCCCCAACTACCTCTCAGATTGTGAGGCCGATGGTGTCTCCGTACTCAACTGGTACCACAGGTCAGTTGTCTCATTACTACTGTGTCAGAGGTCATTCAATGCTTACGTTCTATGGGTCCCCTCTTCCCCAATGTAGGTCAACTCATAGATCTCGTGTCAAAGGTCATTTAGTTACATGGTATTTGGTGTCATTCGCTACCCTTTATGTCTTCCTTATTGTAGAGAGAGAGAGAGAGAGAGAGAGAGAGAGAGAGAGAGACCAGACTTCACTCTCACCTCCTTCTCCCCTCAGTCAGTCAGAGAAAGAGTTAGAAAGATAAATAGAGAGAGACAAAGAAAAAAGAAAGTCAGAGAAAAGAGAGAGAGAGAGAGAGTTGAGACCTCCGGACCTCACTACCACCACCACCACCATCTCCTCCTCCACAGACAGTTCAACGAGGCGGCCAGAAAGAGGTACTTCACCAACCAGAACTTGGCCATGTACTTCTACTCCATGATCGCGGACTACTTCCTGGGCATGTGGGGGGGAGGGACACCCAAGCCCTTCAAGTACACCGAGATACAGAGACACAGGTGAGGGTACTGTCTGTCTGTCTGTCTGTCTGTATATGTTTTAGTCTGTCTCCTCTGTTTTTAGGAGCTGATATATTTTTTTATATATGTAATACGATCGAGACCAACCACTAATACAGTTGTTTGTTTGTTTGTTTGTTGTTAGATTCAACCTGAAAAGCAAGGAAGGTCTGGCTGACAGGAAGGTGCCAGCACAGCCTCTAGTATATTTCAACAAGGAAGGCAAACCTAGCAGATACAACTTGAGGAAGGTATGTTAGTTACAGTCTCTCTCTCTCTCTCTCTCTCTCTCTCTCTCTCTCTCTCTCTCTCTCTTTTCTCTATCTTCTCTATTTCTGTCCTAATCTGTCTCTGTTTCTCTTTTTTTTTCTCTCTCTGATCCCTCTTTCACACACACACACACACACACACACACACACACACTATATTACAATACCTTCACTTCATAATCTAATAATCGTATGACTTTATAATCATTATTTTTTCTTTAATTCCAGTATTGCTATTAATTACATTTCCCTAATACAGTACATACTATGATTACCTTTATCACTGCAGTACCCTCAAATGTCAGTACCATTACCATAATTACCCCCTGAGTGTACTTCTATGGTAGTTAAGAGGGCCCATGAGTTGAACCCTGCAGTTAGACAGAGTTGATTGTTGTTATCATCGGAATTGATTCGCCATTCCTCATACCAGTCCCAGAGACGTAACTTAACCTAACCTAACCCCAACCTAACCCTAAACCTAACCTAATCCTGAACCTAACCTAACCCTAAACCAAACCCTAAACCTAACCTAACCCTAAACCTAACCCTAAACCTAACCTAACCCTAAACCTAAACCTAACCTAACCCTAAACCTAACCTAACCCTAAACCTAACCTAACCCTAAACCTAACCTAACCCTAAACCTAACCTAACCCTAAACCTAACCTAACCCTAATACCATGATCTCTCTGACGTGGCAGTTCGGGGAGTTGCCGTTTCACTTGGTTCGAGCACGTCGGTTCGAGGACTTGTACAAATACGTGCTGTTCAACTACCAGTGGTTACACGCCAAGCTCAGCTCTTGTCCCCTTCAGGCTGTGCTGTCCGACTTTGAAGACGCCTCGTCCCACATCGATGACAGGGATCAGATATAGGTAAACGGAGGGTGGGGTGTTGTTGATGTTGTGGGGGGTGTAGTGGTGGTTGATGTTGTGGGGGTGTAGTGGTGGGGGGGTGATTTGTATTGGTGGGGGGTGATGTAATGGTGGGGGGTGATGTAGTGGTGGGGTGATGTGTAGTGGTGGGGGATGTGTGGGTGATGTAGTGGTGGGGTGGATGAATGGTGGGGGTGATGTAGGTGGGGGGTGATGTATGGTGGTAGGGGTGATGTAGTGGTGGGGTGATGTAGTGGTGGTGGGGTGATGTGTAGTGGTGGGGGTGATGTAGGTAGGGGTGATGTGTAGTGGTGGGGTGAGAATGTAGTGGTGGGGGGTGATGTGTAGTGGTGGGGGTGATGTGTAGTGGTGGTGGGGTGATGTGTAGTGGTGGGGGGTGATGTGTAGTGGTGGTAGTGGTGATGATGGTGAATGTTGATGATGATGATGGTGGTGGTGGTGGTGGTGAACATGGTAGTGGTAGTGTGGTGGTGGGTGCTGGTGATAGTGGTGGCGGCGTTGATGATAGTAGTGTGGTGTGGTGGTGGTGGTGGTGGTGGTGATAATGGTGGTAGGAGTGTAGAATGAATGACCTTGGTGTGATGATGATGATGATGGTGAAAATAGTGTCTCGTTCATCACCAAAACATTGACAACTAAACCACTTCCCAAATATCTTCAAAATTACGTAAAAATTAAAACCAAAGCAAATTTTAAGGATAAACTAACAAAGAGTTTTAAATTCCATCAGTTTTTTTTTTTAATTTTTAGGGTATAAAAATTATTATGATTTTCGATTATTTATATATTTTGCTGTTAAGTCATTATATTCATGATCTTTGGATAGTGATTTAACAAGCAGATGTAATTTTAAAAGGGTCAATTTTATTCAATTTGATTTTGATGTCCAAGTAATTTTTAGATTTTTTTTTTACAATTATATATCGGAATATAAACATTCACTTTTATTAAAATTTACAAAACGTTGTATATACTACTTTATCATTTTGTTTAATTACATTGTATAGGTATGTAGAAATGTTTTACAATAATGTATAATTTTCACTCACTTGTTGAACAAATTCGTAAATAAACATTCATCATTGTTAAATTTTTTAAGTAAAAGAATTTTTTTTAAAGTGATAATTAATTGATATTTTCTAATTTAAATAAAAGAACAAAGCTTTTTAATAATAATCATGAAAACTAAGACGTAATTCAGTATACAGTGTTTAAATAATAATAATACTAATAATAATAATAATAATAATAAATAATACTGAACACCTCACCAACACTTCCCAACAGTGAAGACAACAAGCTTAGGAAAAGGTATTGTAAGATGGTGTATGTGTGTGTCACTTGTTTGTTGCTGGCCACACCTCTTGGTCACCTGTAGTTATAAAGCCACCTCTTTTGGCCATCTGTTCTTGATAAATCTTCTGTATTGTTTCTGCCCACCTGTTATGGCCACCTGTTATGGCCATCTGTTCCTGAAGGCCCTCTTCTATTTATCCTGGCCACCTCTTAATACCTGTAATTATTTATATTTTTTCTGCCTATTTATATCAATGTCTTGTTCCATCTTTCCTCTGAACAATTCTGAACATTTCTTTTTGACATTCTTTCAGTTCTTCCACCTGAACAATTTCACAGTTCTTGTTCCATCATCTTCATTCCTTCATTCTGGATGTTCTTTTGTGGCTTTTACGTCTAATAATTTGTTCACTGATTCTACATGAACCATCTCTTGGCACTGTTCCTTCCTTCCTTCCTTCCTTCCTTCCTTCCTTCCTTCCTTCCTTCCTTCTCCTCCTCCTCTTCGCCCCCAGCCATACACAGTCTACGGGGACGACACTGTTACTGACTCATTCTCTCCCTCCCTCCTTCCTTCCCTCCCTCCCTGCTTCCTTCCCTCCCTCCCTCCTTCCTTCCCTCCCCCCTAAACCAGTGCACCAACTATATACTCCCCCCCCTTCCCCAGCGTCTACCCAATTTTATAAGAACATAATTACTGACTCTCTGGCCTGCCCACACAAACGCAGTGACCCCGAGAAGTGTTGAGTCAGGTCACATGGTAAGGTCAGCAACGAGTTGTAGACACGATCGCTTGCTGACTGACTTAATCTGACTGACATGTTGTATATATTTACGCTGCATCTTGATTTCTTTGTTTTTGTATATAAATATAGTGAGTAAAACACTTAAAGTCTATCCTTCAATAATGGTCCAATATATGACTCGCTACCAACACTATTACTACTGCTTATTTAGATCTAACCAACCATAGTATAATAGTCCAGGTTTACACACACACACACACACACACACACACACACACACACACACACACACACATACACACACACTCACACCTTTACCTCCAGACTTAACATCACGAGTGAAATGAAATCTGGAGAAATATAACACAACTTTCATTTTTGTTTTTCCTTTCCACCCAGCACACTTACTGGGGCTTCATGGGTGCCACAAGACCTCACCTGTTGGGTTATCTAGCTCTACTGTAGGTGCTTTAGGCCATTCTGGTTCCTCTTGGTCTCACAGTAGCCACAACCTTAACCTCTGCAAACATATTTTTATATATTTTTTTTATATAGTATTTTGATTTAGGTGACTGTATACATAAGGTGAGACCCAGGACGATCCTTTTAGTGTATACAGATTAATTAAACAGCTTCAGTAACCAGATTAAAGAGTTTATTCATAAGAGTATACATTGATGGTTAGTATAGTATACAGAATACAAAACAACTCATACTGTAACGCTTCTCTTATCTTGCTATAGATACATGATACCATACAGCTAATGCTTGTATATCAGATACATATAATACAAAAGTTTCATACTCTGTAACGCTTAACTTAATACCTTGCTATACAGAGATATATATAGTATAGCTCAAGCTTAATAAGATACATAGTGGTAATATAGATAGATACTGTACCCTGCAGCTTGTATCACAGGCTATATTATAAGAGAACCACTGCCAGTTAAGGAGAGGTCGGGGGCCTTTTTGGTGCATCTTCTACAGGAGTATTATTATTACTGATTGGAGAGAGAAACGCCAGACGCTACTAACTGCTTATGCTGGCGCCGTTTTTTTTATGGTAGGAGTTTTATAGTGCTAGAGTCCTCCACCCTGGGCCGTAGTGTCAACAACTGGATGGCAGTGTTAACGCTAGACTAGATCCTTCCCTTGATACTCCACCGTCTTGACCGGGTACCTCCTCCCTCCTCCAACACTCTCCTCCCCCTCCCTCTGCTGTACTGACTCTTCTCCACCACCACCACCACCACCACAGGGAACTGATGCTGGTAGCAGACGCACTGAGGCTGGGAGGCGCTATCCTCTCTCAGTACCCGGACATGCTCTCGCCCCAGCTGATCGGTCGCCTCCTGCCTGAGATGGAAACCAACCCTCACGTGAAGAGCTTGTTGGAGCAGTGTGACGCGGAGGGCATTGAACACTGCGGCCTCCTGCCCTCCTACCACTGCAGCCACACTCCTGGAGGACCCCTTAAGGTGACGCTCGCGCATACACACGCACACACGGACGGCACACACACACACACACACTGAAAAATCTATTGAATTTGACCTCTACAACACACCTCACTGACCTAAGATGACCTTTTGACCTCCCTTCACAGTATTCCCTGGAGGGTCATCAGTTCGCGGTGTTCGGGTTCTGCCTGACCCACGACCTGCGGTACATCGTGAGCGTCTCCAACAAGTTTATCACGTGGGACCTGTCGACCTCTGACCTGACCAGGGAGGTGGTGCCTGGTATTGAGGGCATCATGCAGGAGCTGGTCCTCTCCCCTGACAACAAGTACTCCATCGCTCACACCAACAACAGTCAGGTCAGTGTGGGAGGAGGGGGGGGAGACGAGAAGGAGGAAGAGGTAACGGAAAAAGAGAAGGAAGGAATGGAGAGGAGGAGGGGAAGAAAAGGAGGAGAAGGAAGAACAAAAACAAGAAGAAGGGAAGGAGGAGGAAGAATATTGATGATTGAGTCACTGTATAATGTGTTGTGTTATGATATTAACCTCCCTGCCTGTAACTGTATCATAACTGTACTCTCCCTCCCTCCCTCCCTCTCCCAGACACTAATAACTCTCCCTCTCTCTCCCTGGCTGCAGACGGTGCTCCTCAACATGCTAACGAGTGAGTTCTTCCTACTAGAGAATCCAATGTCCGGAGAGAAAGTGATCGGAACACTTCTCTCTGACTCGTGCGCCCTCATACACGGCGAGAGGTGGGTCATAGGTCACCAGGGAGGTCATATAGGATGTCTCACCTCATGTTTGGTTATATAGGGATATTATAGTCATATAGGTTGAGTAACGTGTATATAGTTTCCTAGAGGTCGTGAATGTAAAGATGGTGTATGTGTGTTTATTTGTTATTGCTAGTGGTGTTGTTTATATGTGCATACACAGTCAGGTTTTGGGGTACTGGTGATGGTGTACACACAGACGAATATGTTGTGGGTGTTGGTGAAGGCGTTGTGGGTGTTGGTGAAGGCGTTGTGGGTGTTGGTGAAGGTGTTGTGGGTGTTGGAGAAGGTGTTGTGGGTGTTGGTGAAGGCGTTGTGGGTGTTGGTGAAGGTGTTGTGGGTGTTGGTGAAAGGTGTTGTGGGTGTTGGTGAAGGCGTTGTGGGTGTTGGTGAAGCGTTGTGGGTGTTGTGAAGGTGTTGTGGGTGTTGGTGAAAGGTGTTGTGGGTGTTGGTGAAGGTGTTGTGGGTGTTGGTGAAGGCGTTGTGGGTTGTGAAGGTGTTGTGGGTGTTGGTGAAGGTGTTGTGGGTGTTGGTGAAGCGTTGTGGGTGTTGGTGAGGTGTTGTGGGTGTTGGTGAAGGTGTTGTGGGTGTTGGTGAAGGCGTTGTGGGTGTTGGTGAGTGTTGTTGTGGGTGTTGGTGAAGGTGTTGTGGGTGTTGGTGAAGGCGTTGTGGGTGTTGGTGAAGGCGTTGTGGGTGTTGGTGAAGGCGTTGTGGGTGTTGGTGAAGGTGTTGTGGGTGTTGGTGAAGGCGTTGTGGGTGTTGATGAAGCGTTGTGGGTGTTGGTGAAGGTGTTGTGGGTGTTGGTGAAGGCGTTGTGGGTGTTGGTGAAGGCGTTGTGGGTGTATGTGAAGAAGTTGTAGGTGTTGCTGGTGTTAGTAAGTATATTTTGGGTGTTAATGATGGTGTACACACATACCAACAGGTCGTGGGTGCTGTACACTCTGCGAGGGGAGGAGAAGGAGCGAGTATCATCACCCATAGACAAGCCGATCCTCTTCATGGATTTCAAGAGCCCCAACGACTACAGCCTCGTATGCTGGTCTGGAGACTTTGACGACAAGAACATGCTCGTCCACACCGTCGTCGCCTCCACCAGTTTCCCCATTCTCGAGTTCCACAGGTACAGGAGTTATGTTTCACTCAAGTTACAGGTAGAGGATCCTTCTTGTCCCTTCTTCCCTGATAAAGTAATTAAGTTAAACAGCACGTATTTCATCTCATTTCTTCCTCCTTTCTTCTTCTTTCTCCTCGTCTTCCTCCTCGTCCATTCTTGGTCCTTCCTTTGTCTTCCCTCTCGTCCCTTCTTCGTCTTTTCTTTGTCTTTTCTTTGTCTTCCACCCTGGCAGAGGAACTCACCTACACCTCATTCCCGGCAGCGTGATGACGTGGACCAAGTGTCGTCGGTGGCTGTACTGCTGCACAGAAGACCACGGCCAGGACGTGTGTGTGTACCGCCGTGATGACGAGGCCTCTTGCTGGACGCTGGACAGGGTCGTCGCCCCCAACAACCACAAGCTCCTGATGGTTCACCTCACAGGCGACCAGAAACACCTCATTGGCACCTTCATGACAGGGTTCCAGGTGAGTGAAGCCTTATTGGCACCAGGGTTAATATCACCGTAGAAACACCTCAATGATAATCTTTTGTTGATGCAGGTAGATTATGCACAGGTATCTGTAAAGGTGTGTGGCCTCGATACCTCTGAATAGTACGACCCAATGTGATTATGAAGATATTATAGGGATTATTCCACCCTGTTAAGAATTTGAAAGAAGATTTTTGTATGTGTGGGGTCCATTTTATATATACGTACGTGTGTGTGTGTGTGTGTGCAGGTGTGGGAGGTGGAGAGTGGGGCGGCATGGACGCTGATGCTGCCTCATGGGATCAGGAACATCTCCACTCAGCTGCTCAAGTCCAACTCCTGTGTCCTCTCTAAAGGCTACAAGTATGCTGTGGCGGGCGTTAGGTGAGTCTCGGGGCTATGCTGAATGAAGGAGGACTGTCAGTGGATGCATAATATGACTATTCGTTAAGTATATATTAAGTCATGAAGAATTGTCTTGTTTTATAAAGAGGGACATTATTAATCTGTTGTCTTCCCTCCTCCAGAAAGAACCTATACGTGTGGGAGCTACAGAGTCAGGATCTGCTTAAGGTCCTCGATGCTCACTTCGGCCGCATCATCGATATGGTCGCCCTCGTCGTCGGCTCCTGGAACTCCGTACGTTCTTGAAGTGTGACTTTGACTTATCCACGTTCCCGTTAACTTCTGACTAAAGGATGATTGAAATTTATTGCACACACACACACGCATCCACCCACCCACCCACCCACCCACCCACCCAAAAGAAAATCCAGCATGAAAATCTACTCTACTAATATTGTCATGTTGTCGCAGGTAATCACGTCATCGCTGGACAGAACCGTCAAGGTGTGGAACATCAATAACATCTTCGAGCAGGTACACGTCATCGACCGTCACGAGCTGCAGGTGGACGATATCAGGTGAGGGATGAGGGAGCAGGGGAGGGGCGAGGGAGAAGGAGAGGGTAAGGGAACGAGGGGTGAAAGAGGGAGGGAGGGGTGAGGGAGGGAGGAATGAGAGAGAGAGGGTGTTAGGGGTAAGGGAGGAAAGGGGCAAGGGAAAGATGGCAAGGGAATAACCGGAAGGAATAACATTAAAGGGACGATATAATGCAATGAAAAGCACAAATGAAGCACAGTAGTGAAATAGAGAGCATGTATATATGTATGTATGTATGTATAGAGAGAGAGAGAGCATGTGTTATTACAAGATAATCATGCCTTTAAGGTTTGGTTAGGTTAGGTTAGGTTAGGTTAGATTTTTAAGGAATAAATTAAGAATCTAACTTAATTAATGTAAGTTTGAGGGTTTTTTTTATAAGTGATTTCAATTTTCTTCTTCTTTTCGTCAGTATGGCGGCCAATAGCCCGATAGCTGTAACAGTGACCAGAAACTGTGTGGGTATTTGGAACGTGAGGCTTGGTAAGCTGGTGAGCAAGCTGGCCGACTCACCTCTTGGGGCCATCGTCACCCAAGCCGGCATCACCAGTAACAGCAGGTATAGGAACCACACACACACACACACACACACACACATACATATATTCTCTCTCTCTCTCTCTCTCTCTCTCTCTCTCTCTCTCTCTCTCACACCACGTTTTTACCTTTTCTCGTTCCTTACCGCCACGTTCTTACAAGATTCGTTCATATCTCACCATCCTCGTGTCTCCCTCTAGATACATCGTGTCGACCGAGTCAGGGAACGTGTTGATCTGGAACGTGAGAGCCGAGGCGGTGCTGTTCAAGGGGGAGCAGAAGAACGTACAACAGCTGCTCCTTCTGGATGACGATAGCAAGTGCGTCGCGGTGTCCAAGGTGCGTCAGAGTGTGTGTGTGTGAGAGAGAGAGAGAGAGAGAGAGAGAGAGAGAGAGAGAGACTCATTTATGACCAATCTTCCCAAATTTGCCCATAGGATCATGATTAACACCACCTCTCTCCTTCGCCAGGTGTCGTTGGAGACAGGTGAGTTGTCCTGCTTCTTGGTTACTCGCTCTATACCCACCGGCGAGAAGGTCTACGAGCTGGACTACCCGATCCGTACCTTCCGTCAGATAGCGGTGACAGCAGACGGCTTATTCCTCGTCATACCTTCAATAGATGGCCTGAAGGTGGGTGAGGAGGAACGATACTCTGGTGAGAAGAACTGAATACATATATAGGGAGAAAAGGGAGATAGGGAGACGATAAGTGGGGAGTTTAGTGGAAAAAGAAGGTGGAAAAGGAGAGGGTGCTGTTGGAAAATTTGAATGGAAAAGGAAGGAAACGAATGATGGAAAGGTAATGAAACTGTTTATAGCTGCAGCAGGAAGAGCTATGATGAAAAACAAAATAAATGGTGAAAAAAAATGATTTGTGAGGAAGAAAGAGACTCCGGGTAGTAAGCTGGATGGGGAGGCATGATTGGAGACGTGAATTTGGGGAGACTTGTAGGAAAACAACGACATTGAAGGTTTACTAAATTAAACTGTACTGTGGGTTCATTCACATAAATGTATTACGTTACTAGAAATAATCAAGTTAGTGTTGCAAAAAGCTGTATTTAAGAAAATCAAGAAATTATTTGTTTAAAGAAAACGAATGAAGTATTATTTTTAAGCAGTAACTATACCATTTAACAAAGCACTCGCAGATGCCTTTTTAATCCCATACCAACGGTTATTGACAGGATGTACTGCTGATCTACCACGCCAAGACGGGAACTCTGGTACACAAGATGCCTCTCAAGTACTCGGGATTCAAAGACTTTCACTTGGTTGTGCCGCTGCCCAACAAACCCACACAGGTAGCGCTTATCGATCAGGACAAAGGCAACATTGTCGACATCCGCACCAAGAAGTTTGTCCGTTCTATTCCAAAATGGGGTGGCAAGGTCTGTATATAATCACCGATAATCCTAAATATAATTATACTTGCATATAATTGTATCCCAAAGTTCAAGTCTTGTATATGATATAATCTTACAGGTGTATAGTTATTGAGATCATATTTTCTTAATAATTATCAGTGAGGTAAATATTATCTTAGGTGAATGACATAGATGGTGTAAATTCTCTACTGTTAAAAGCCTATGAGACCTGAACCACCCGGCTGGTCATTCTTTACACAAGTCCCTCCTCACTCACTGTTGGTGAGTTCTGTCTTGATCCTTCATGACTTTCCTTGGTCATGTACAGTTTATATCTTAGAAGGACTTGACCCTCAGCTGCAGCCTCCTCTCCCCCCCCCCTCCCTCTAATGTCTCTTACTGGGTGTCTCTATTTTTCTCATTTTGTTTGGGTCGACGATCAGTGTTCTGACGAGCTTCATTTCACAAACATCTTCATCTATCTCGTCCTCTTAGTCCTTGTGTTCCTCATCAGTGGAAAGTCATATATTTCATTCCACTAATAACTTACAACCTCTCAACTGTACATACTATAACTCTCAAGACAAAATCTGCTTCTTAAACAACACAGTGTCAGGTGTCGCTTCATTATGCCACGTCTCTCACTCACCTCACAACCTCCTAATCACTGGTGGTGTGGTGGCAGGTGTCTAAGGATGGTCGGTACGGGCTCTACGCTCCTGCCAGAGGTGGCCTGGAACTGCTGGAGTTGCGTCACGGCACCTCTGTCAAGACGCTCATCCCCAGGGTGGCCGAGGGCGTCTTCTCCGTTATTTGCCTCTTCACTCGCACCGACGAGTATGTCCTCTACTACCACGGCGGCCGCAAGACAATCAGAGTCTTCAGGTATGATCAGGAATGTGATAATGATTAAGAGTCCTCCAGTTAATTCTGTAATGATAATCCTCAGGTGAGTTACGTTCAACTTGTGTCTTTATGTCGTTGGTGTGACAAGAACAGTCTTCCTTCATCAGTGAGGTAAAGTAGTTGGTTCTCTGGGAGGTAAAATACTGTTACTTGGTGTTGTCTCTCAGCACCACCATGGATCACCATGTTGTTTTAGGATACTGATAAAAACGCTAAGCATATTTACCTCTGACTACCACGAAGATGTGTGTAGACATTTATGCTATTTGCAAAGGTCCTTTTCATATCAACAGTTCTCACTGAGATGGACAACTTGGAAATATGATTTTCAATGTAGGAAAAGTGTATTCTGCAGTTATCCCTTTCGCTACATCTTTAGGTGCAGCGGCTCCACCACAGTCACACATCTTGCACCATCATTCCTGTGACTTCTTAATACTGAGCTGCAGGTGTCCTCAGGGTGACGGACGGCAAGATGATTGCTAACTACCGGGTACAGGCGGAGCTGACGGCTATCGCGGCGAGTGAGGACGGCCGTACTATCGTGTTGGGCACCGTGGACGGCTGCCTCTCCTCCATCACCATTGCTGACCCCACCAGGCCAGGCATAAGGGACTACCTCGCAGACCTTCCCTCCAGGAACCCTCAGGTAAACATCCATCTTGACTATCTGTTTTATAGGGGCAGGCAAGAGGTCCTAAGGACAGACTTTTTTTTTAAAGGCATTTAATAGTTGTGGTTGTTCTTTGACGAACAGTGCCCCGTAATTGCTACTGCTTTGAAGGACGGTGTCTGAATGTGACATCTTCTCTGAGGTTTAATAACTGGTTGCTTTTTTTATCTTGGGTTGAGTGAATGGATGATTTTTTTGTATCAGAGTTTTAACTCGTTCATATTACTGTGCTGCCGCCTCATGAACTCTTGCTGCTGAATGTGGTTACTGACGACCGACCAGTGAATGACGGGTGACTGTACTGTGACTGGAGGTGGCAGCTGCATTAAGGAGGAAGCTAAGAGACTGCTGCACTGGAGACAATGATCAGTTTTGGTCACCATATAGGGACGGGCAGTGACCGGTCCTGGTGCTGCAACTCATAAATAACCACAGTGTCATAAGAGGCAGCTGGTGGCGGAACCTGTTGTGTTTGGTGTGTGTGGAGCTGCGGTCGTGGTGTCGTGTTGGTGTCGTCAGCGTGTGATACCTTGGCCTTGTTGTCATAGATAGAAATAAAACCCTATACACGACGTCCCTGACTGCCACAACCAAACGGGAAGTGAGAGGAACTGCTGTAGGGGTAGTCAGCCTCCTACCCCATAACTGCTTGAATGGGATTTATTTTCCTCCTTCGTCCTTGTTTGAAGTGTGTTGCGTCCACTATGCCTCCAGTTATTCTTTTTCCTTAAACCTGTCTCATATACCTTGTGCTCCAGTGTTTACATGGAGAACTCCGGAAGTACCGCCCTAGTAGGAGGAGGTTACATTTACACACACCCAGAAAACAGTGTAGTAATTTAAAAAACTTTGCTGAAGGTAATCGAATTTGCGTCTCTCTCTCTCCCTCTCACTCTCTCCCTCTTTCACACTTATCAAAACAGCTGGGAACGCCTGAGCCATTTTCTCTGTACTTGTATTATCACTTTCTATCTCAAACGACGAAGGAGAATAGGAAGTGTGAAAATCCTCGACACTTTTGACTTGCCCGAAGAAGAAGAAGAAGAAGAAGAAGAAGAAGATAGAGGGTCATAGAAAGAAGGAAAATAAAGAAAGCGAGAAGGAAAGGAATAGAAGAGAAGACAGGAGATGAAGAAAATGAAGAAGAAGAAGAAGAAGAAGAAACATTGGGATGAAAGAGAAGGAGAAGGAGGGGAATAAGAGGTGATAAAACCCGGGTATTATGAATGCGACAATAAGAAACATCTGTTGACGAGCTGTTCATTACGTAATATTTTTTCTCTATTTTTTAATGTATTTTTTATTTATTTATTTTATTTTTTTACTTTTTATATTTTACCATCAGCCGGTTCCCAGAACTTGCTTGACCGCACGAGAACTGGATGGTCGTCTCCAGCACACACAGAAAGAAACGATTGACAGACGAATGGACAGTCAGACAGTCAAGTAAACAGTCAGTCATTCAACCAGTCAGTTAGAAAGAGGTGTTCCTTAAGTTTCTGCACTCTGGAGTTTGTCATTTGTACTCGAGGAGTTGTCATTGTACTCAAGGGTCACAAGTCATAGTACTCGAAGGGTTTCAAGTCGTACTTATGAGGGCTGAGTTATTGCCTTCACTATTTGAACAAGAAGTATCTTATTCTCCAGAGCTCATGAATTATAATGGGATGACATGAAGATTAAGCACCCCAGCTTATTTTAATTGATGATTAAACACCCTAACTCTAACTTAACCTAACCTAACCTAACTCTAACTTAACCTAACCTAAACAAAGCTAACCTAACCTAATCTCCAAGGTAGGATTAGGGTGTTCAATCATCAGGTGAATTATGCTAGGGTGTCTAATCCTTAAGTGATCAATATAATGTTACTCTAAAGCCCTTCAGTGGTTGTCGTGTCGTTTACTCTACAAGTTAAAGGAGATGTAGTTATTTACTCTCGCCATGTACACTTTCAGCAACAAAGGGGCGGAGCTTGAGGTTTGTGTATAAACATGACGTCACGAAGAACGTCCAATCAGGTACGCGGGTTAATCCTCTGGTCGGGGAAGGTCTGCTGCATAAGGGGCGACATTTGCGAGTGTTTAAGACATACAGTGCATGTTTACCTTAAAGTTTATTGTTTAAAAGGAAGTTTGATATTCATAAGTCATATAAGTATAAATTTGTTTTGATATAATATATTTACCACTATGTAATACCATTGTTAGTTAGATAATAGCTTTTCATTTCTGAGTTTGTGTGGTCTGTTATTAAATGTTGATTTTATTCCACAGACCTTGTACACTTGTGTATAATTAGTCCACCAACCTTTGAGGGAAAGATGATTTGACATAACTAAAAAAGTCCTGAATTAATCTAACTTGTAAGAAATTAAACCTTGGAAATATTCTCTCTTTGGCATTAAACATATTTCTGTTGATTCTGTGGACGACGAAACTGTAGGAGGAGGATGTAAGTGTTGAGCTCCTGTCATGGTGGAGGACAGGCCGGGAGGTGCGACGCCCTGCTGTCTGCCTCTCTCTCTCTCTCACTTGTTGTAAAATAGGACACACACACACACACACACACACACACACACACACACACACACTGTTCCCTCCCTCACACACAACACTCCTTCCCTTCCTCTCTGAAGTATTTACGACCCCTCTGCTATCTCTCCCTCTCCCCTTCTATATATCTATGCATCCACACTACCCCTCTCACACACTATCCTCTACATGCTGATGCACCCACACTAACCACTCTTCTTTACACCCACGCATCCTCACCAAACCTCACTCATTCTCATCTATACGCATCCACACCAACTCTACGGTAGTTCGGTCTCTTTACAAAACGCACGTACTCACTAACTCAGTCATGCCCTCTACCTAACCCCCCACAACACACACACACAGCACTAACATAAACCCTACTCATAATCCCTCAATATCCACGCCCCCACACCCCCCACGCCCCCCACCCACCCCCCCACACCAACCCTCATCCAACTAGTTAGACGCATCCCGTAGCCTGAAATGAGCTGCGACAGTCATAAATCCGAACTCTCCATCTGAACGACTAATGATCAAAAGATTTTCTTGTTATGCTCGGTGAACCATTTAAGCTGAAGCGTTTGAGTGAACAGAAGACTCGACTGCTGTGTGATTTTACGTGATGAAATAACACATACCATATACCCATACATCTGTACAGGAGACAAACAGCTGCTGTGTAATAATTCTTCGACAAAAAACATAATAGGAGTTGTTTTAGAGTATGTATGACTAGTATGTCGTAAAATTACAGCTCATGGCAGGTTCCAGGATGAAAACAAAAGACTAGTGCCTCGTCGTTCCCCATCTGCCTCTCACACTAAAGTATTACTGGCTGGCTGCACCACCACACACCAGTCACTACCACTTGAAACTGCGGATGTTGTGTTATGTTCGTCCTTAACCTGTCTTTAAAACAACAAAGTAATTATGATATTCTGCCCGTAATTTTCCGTCAAGAAGCAATAGATTGAGGTAGAAATTCCAGCGTCTAGATATAGTGAGAGTATTGATGGTGATGATAGTGGTGGTGACAGTAGTGGTGGTGCAGGGTATCCGTCTTTGTGTGTGTGTGTGTAAGTGGTGGTGGCGCTGAAGGGGTACTGGGTCTAGGTTACACTCATCACGTACCAGTAGACACCCGTAGAAACAATTTTATACACTTTTCTTGTAGACGGTTTGTAATTTTTGGATGATCGTGTTTTGACATTTTTCTTTTGTGTATAACTTGCCATTTTCTCACGTAGTTATGAAGCAACAGTATTTAGCTGTAGATGATAAAGTAGCAGAGATAAAACTGTAGCATTAAACTAGACAATATTTATTAGATAATTGTTTAAAAAAAAAGAATAAATATAATGTAGATAATGTGGCCAGGTGGAGCTTGTACCCACACTCACCCCCACCATAGTAGTGCTGATGTGACCCTTTGTTCCTTGTTATATAGGGGTGAGGTGGCCGAGTGGATATAGCGCTCGCCTCCTGTCCTTAGGGTCGCTGGTTCGCACCCATTTCACCCCCCAGTCCACCCAGCTGTAAATGGGTACCTAACTTTACGGTTGGGGAAGTGAAGGCGGTCGAGTGCAGTACCGGCCATGCTGCCTCCTTGTGTACCGAAGGCTTAGTGTCTCTACAAGACCCTCTCTCACTTTCTATTCCTTGTTACTACCACCAGTACTTCCCTCACACCTATCTTCTTCTGCCTTCCTCCTCCCTCACTCTTTATCCTTCCTTCTCCTCCCCCACCTTCCCTCCCCCCTCACCCTTCTCTTTCCTCCTACTCACCCCTCACTTTCCCTTCTCCTCCCTCACCTTCCCTCCATCCTCACCCCTCACTCTCTCTTCTCCTCTCGCTCTCCTCCTCGCTCAGCCATCACCCTTCCTCCTCTCTCACCCTTTCGCTTCCAATCCATCTCTTCCACTATCCTTCCTTCTCTTCCTCTCTTCATTCTTTCTGTTCCTCTCTCCTACCTTTTCTCCCTTTCCTATTCCTCTCTCCCTACCCTTCCTCTCCTCTCTCTTCTTCCCTTTCGTCTCTTTCTCTCTTTCCTTCCTTCACCTCCCCCTCCCACCTCTCTCTCCCCCTCTCACGTACCTCACCTCTCCCTGCCAGCGGTACGAGGAGGAGGAAGCCAAGCAGAACATGACTCTCCGACGGGCAGTCAACATGGTGATGATGACAAACAGACTTCAGGGCATCGGCTGTGTCACTGGAGAGTCAGCATAGTGTGTGGCTGTGTCAGTATAGCGTGTGGATGGGTCAGTGTAGTGTATCAGTCAGCATAGTGCGTGGTTGAGTCAGTTTAGTGTGGCTGTGTCAGCATAGTGTGTGGATGTGTCAGTATAGTGCGTCAGTCAGCAAAATGTGTGTTAGAGTCAATGTATAGTGAGTGGCTGTGTCAGCATAGGGCGTGGTAGAGTCAGCAGAGTGTGTCAGTTAGTGTGCGTGTCAAAAAGTTAGCCCAATCAGGCAGCATAGTCAGTGGCAAAGTCAGCCTAATGTGTCAAAATTGTATGTGTTATAGTCCGCATAGTGAGTGGCAAAAAGTCAGCCCAGTGTGTCAGCATAATGTTTGGCAAAGTCAGTCCAGTGTGTGTGTGTGTGTGTACAGTATGTATGAAGAAAGAAAACTAAAAAAGAACATCTTTGTCATATTGAACAAACTCTTTGGTTCACTCCGTTATCTAAAACCTAAATTATGTATAGGTGAATTTCCTAACTAAATTAACTTAATGAACTTAATTAATAAACAAATAAATACCTAAAGAAAATATAGATAAGAAATTACAAGTGATATAGAAATTAAATCTACTAAATTAATGTATTTCTGAGGATGTCAAACAATAGATGAATAATTGTTTGTTTACGTTCTATAGTTGATGTTTATACTTTACATATACATAATAAAAATTACATGTCAGATTTGTTTATATATTGTATAAATCAATATACAGTAAATTTATATAGTGAGAAGTGATTTATATCTCGTACGATTAGTAATGTGTATGTAAGATTTATATAACCGAGGAAGACAAATAGCGTTCCTGTCTCACTCACCTGTTTAGATACTTCTAGTTATCTATAATGCATATGAGATGAAGTAATTAATCTATTTCAGAAGTAGACAGTAGCCAATCAATCAAGGTGGCACTCTATCTTGGCGGCCATGCCCCTCTGCTAAATGTTTCTCAGGCCGTGTTCACCAACGACGCATCTCTTAAAACAGGTTGAATATACTTCCATAGATTTAGGGTATATATACCCCTGTATATATAAGGTTATCGAAAAAGAATACCCAGATTTAGATATAAAACTACTTGAAATCTAGTTGCTATTTTTCGATGACAGTTTATAAATGTGGTGTACATTATTCTCTTAAATTTAACACTATGAGGTACAGCTTACGGTGATTAATTCCTTTATAGGAGCTCCTTTTTTTTTACATTTCAAGTAATTTTTTTTTTAAGTTTTTGCGTATCTGAGTACTTTACTTCATTTGTTTTCCTGTCAGCCTCCAACCCCTTTCTGGTGTGCAGAAAGTTTCCTTAAACCTCACCCATACAATAGTCCTTGTTATATAAAGTCTTTCAGCAGCCTTTTTCTAAAGTTAATGTCCCTTTTCATTAGGCCGTTTTTGCCTACCCTATTTTTGTTTTTATTTCTTCCATTCTGCTCTTCAGATAACTCACTTTCTATTCTAAACTTTATTCTCCTTAAAGTCATGTTTAATAAAACTTTGCAGGTATGACTTCCTAAGTTTATTGTTCTAACCTGGGTTCATTCTTAACTCTACTCTATCCTTAGCATTGTATAGTCCTTCTCCGTACTCTACCCATCTCTCCTTTACTACTTCTTCTTCAAACAGGATCTTCTTATTGTCTTTGCTTTTAATAGTCCTATCTCCTTTATTTCCTTTTTTCTGGTTCATTTGTTTAATCTTTCTGTACATTTCCCTATAATTATGCCGTCTGTCATCATCTTCAATCTCCTTGCATTTCCTTTTTAGATCATCTTTCTTGGCCTGTCTGCATTCCCTTTGAGTTTCTTTGTTAATTTTTATGTAAGCCTCACTTTATTTTCTCATATTTCTTTGTCTATTTTTCTTTATATTTTCATTTCTTATCCACTTACGTTTAGCCTCGTTCCTCCTACGTCCTATAAGTTTTTCTCATTTTCTCCATTTAAAAGAAAACAGAGACTTAGAAGAAAACGTACACGTGTTTATGGTTGTAGGAGAGACTATTATATTTACACCGAGGTTGAATGTTAGCGTAGAACTAATGCTCTTGTGTATAGCTAATATATTTTTCCAATCATGATACAATCAGTTTTATTGTACAATATATTCTTAGCCTAGGTGTTCTCCTCCAGTATATGCCTCGAGTTCACTGTCCATGAATATAGTGATATAGTTTTAAGTCTGTATATGGAAAGATTATATATTGGTATATCTTAATATATTTAATTGGATATATACATGTGATGAATAAAACACATATGCAGATTAATATAAATGCTCACTGTTTTGATTATGGGAAAAGTTCTCAACTCTCCCATCATACTTACAAACAACAGTGAAGAACATAAGGTATGTTAATAATTTCTTTTGTTCGTATACTTATAATTTGTTTAAGTAAATGTGGGATTAATTTTACTGTTTGAAGAATTAATTATGGATTAATAGTTCTCGGTTCATTTAATTCAATTCATGAGAAGCAACTAACAGATGCATGTAGTGCAGGTAGATACTGGTAGTACAGGTAGAGACACTGGTAGTACAGGTAGAGAGACTGGTAGTACAGGTAGATACTGGTAGTACAGGTAGAAAGCCTGGTAGTACAGGTAGATAAGCTGGTAGTTCAGGTAGATACTGGTAGTACAGATAGAGAGACTGGTAGTTCAGGTAGAGAGAACTTCTGATTTACGGTGAGGGAGAGAGATAGTAGAAGTGAGTGAGACAGTAAGGAGTGAAATACAGTAGAATGAGAGACAACAATAATGAGAAACTGTAGAAGTGAGAGACAGTAGAAGTGAGAGACAATAGTAGTGAGAGACAATAGGGAGAACCAAACAAAGTGAGACAGTAGGAGTGAGAGACATTACTAGTTAGAGAAAGTACTAGTGAGAGACAGTACTAGTGAGAGACAAAAGGAGGGAGAACAAATTAAATGAGACAGTAGTAGTTAGAGACAGTACTAGTGAGAGATAGTAGGAGTGAGAGACAATCGAAGTGAGAGACAGTAGAAGTGAGAGAAAGTAGTAGTGAGAGATAGTAGGAGTGAGAGAAATCGAAGTGAGAGACAGTACGAGTGAAAGACAGTACTAGTGAGAGACAGAGACAGTAGT